ACGTGCTTGGCGACGCGAAAGGCGAAGATCAGGTCGGCGATCTCGCTCTCTGTCGGCTGACGTTTCGTGACGACCTTCAGTTGCCTGGCGTCGACGCGGCCGCCGTCGCGGCTCTGAACCAGCAGGCCGCCGGATACTGTTTTCGCGGTGATGCCCTCTTCTGCCGGGTCGGGCAGTCCGCCGGTGACCAGCAGCCGCAGGTTTTTCTTTCCTGCAAGCAGGGCCTGCGCCTCTGGCTCGACCTCCGGTGCGATCACGACTTCGGCGAATAGCGCCGTGACCTGTTCCGCAGTGGCGGCGTCGAGTGGACGGTTGACCGCGATGATGCCTCCAAAGGCGCTGACGGGGTCGCAAGCCAGGGCCTGGGTGTAGGCGTTGCTCAGGTCCTCGCTCTCCGCCACGCCGCAGGGGTTGGCGTGTTTGATGATCGCGACCGCCGGCCGCTCGAACTCGGCGACCAGTTCGAAGGCGGCGTCGGTGTCGTTGATATTGTTGTAGCTGAGCTGCTTGCCCTGGAGCTGCCGGGCCGAGGCGACGCCCGCCCGGGACGTTGCCATACGGTAGAAGGCAGCCTCCTGGTGCGGATTCTCGCCGTAGCGCAAGGTCTCGGCTCTGTTGCCGGCCAGCGCGATCTCCTTCGGCAGCGGATCGCCGAGCTGTTGGGCGAACCAGCCGGATACGGCGGCGTCGTACCCGGCGGTATGAGCGAAGGCCGCAGCGGCGAGACGACGGCGCAGGGCGGCGCCCGTTCGGCCCTGCTCCTGTTTCAGTTCTGCCAGAACGGCGGGGTAGTCGGCCGGGTCGGTCAGCACTGCCACAGCGGCGTGATTCTTCGCGGCGGCACGGATCATCGCGGGTCCACCGATATCGATGTTCTCGATGCAGCTCTGGAAGTCGCCGCCTTGCGCGACCGTCTCTCGGAAGGGGTAGAGATTGACCACCAGCAGGTCGATCGGCTGGATGCCGTGCGCCGCCATCTGCTCGACGTGAGCCGGGTCGGAGCGCCTGCCGAGCAAGCCTCCATGGACCAACGGGTGGAGGGTCTTGACCCGACCATCGAGAATTTCCGGAAAGCCCGTTGTCTGGGCGACTTCGACCACCGGCAAGCCGGCCTCGGCGATGGCCTTGGCGGTGCCGCCGGTGGAAATCAGCTCGACGCCCGCGTCGTGAAGGGCGCGCGCCAGATCGATCAGGCCGTGCTTGTCGGAAACGCTCAGCAACGCGCGGCGCAGCGGAATCAGGTCGAGATCGGAGTCGGAGATGTCGCTTACGTCGGCAGCACTGCTCATCGGTCGGTCGCTCTGGCTCGGTCGTGTCCTTGAGGGTTTGGCTGGCGGGGCTACACCGAATCCGGGGCTCGCGCAACGCCGCCGCGCAGCCAGACCAGGAAAGCGGCGGTCAGCAGAGCGGCGGCGGCCAGCGGCAGCCAGGGCTGCCAAAGCTCAGCCGCGACAGCCAGCGCCAACAGCAGAAGGTTGAAGCCGCCGATGGCCAGACTGCAGCCTCCATGGCTCAGCTTGCGCTTCACCGCGCGCTGATAGGCATGGCTGCGATGGGCTTCCCAGGGCCGTTCCCTTTTGAGCAGACGCAGCAGCAGCGTGGTGGTGGCGTCGGCCCAGTAGTAGGCCGGCAGGATCAGCGCGGCTGCCCAGGCGCCTTCACCGGCGGCGATTACCAGAAGCCAGCCGAGCAGGAAGCCGAGCGGCACCGAGCCGACGTCCCCCAGGAAGACCCGCGCGGGCTGCCAGTTCCACGGCAGAAAGCCCGCGACCGCGCCGATCAGCAGAAGGGCGACGGCCACCGTGGAGAGGTGCCAATCGCCCAGCAGCGCCAGGACCAAGGCACCCAGCGCGATCGAAACCGCCTCGACGCCCGAGATGCCGTCGATACCGTCCATGAAGTTGAAAAGGTTGATGAACCATATCCAGACCAGGGCCGTGAACAGGAGATCCGCCCAAAGCGGCAGCATCCCCTGCGTGACCGGCTGAGCGCCGACCATGCCGCCGATCGCCAGCAGGACGGCGGCCAGCTGTACGGAAAGCCGGAGCCCGGCCGGCAAGCTCTGCTGGTCGTCTCGCCAGGAGACCATGGCCAGAAGCACCGTACCGGCCAGCACGGTCCAGAGGCCGGGCAAGCCGGCGCTCCCGAAAGCTGCCCCCCAGAGCGCCAGGCTCACCAACAGACCTCCGATCAGAGGCAGCCCACCGCCTCTCGGTGTCGGTTCGCTGTGGCTGGAGCGCGCGTTCGGTCGATCCAGGGCAATCTCTCGCAGTTTCGGGAGAATGCGGCCGATCGCCCACCAGACGAAGAGAGCGAGCAGCACGGCGGCCGCCACTGCGGCGGCCGGTGTCGGCACCATCTCGATCACACTCGAACTCCGATGACGTGCCCGACCCCGGTCATGTGCGTTCCGATTCTTTTGCTTTCAGGTCGCGGCTCCGCGTTTCCCGCCGCAGCGCCCACTTGACCGTCACGCCTTCGGGCGGACAGTGCCCGGTCAGCACAACCTGCTGACTGCGCCGTTCGGCCGGACCGCCGTGGTAGACCGAGTCTTCGAGGCCGATCTCCGCCCCGCTGGCGCGCAGCCGCCATCCGCCCGCCTTGGCCAGACGCAGCAGCGCCCCGCCGCCGGACAGCAGCGAGATCTGAACGTCGGGGTGTAGATGAAAGCGGATCGCGAACGGCCGGTCGCGCCTCTGCGCGTTTCGTTCGACCGGCTCCAAACGATCCTCGCCGCGCAAGTCCTCTCCTCCGGCACTCAGGTAGAGACGTCGGACGTGACGTAGGCCGAAGCGTTCGACATAGCCGTCGTGCGCGGCCTCGACCCAGACGGCACCCTCGGCCTCGTCACGCTCGCAGTAGGGGATCGCAGCGCGCGCGCTCATTCCCCCGCCTCGGTTGAGTGGTGAGGCGTTCGTATCCCCGAGCGTCAAAGTCGAATGGGCCGGCGTGCCGCGCAGAAGCCTGCGATAGGGTTCGGGGAGGTCCGCCGCCCCCGGGCCGCAGTTGACGATCATCCTTTCGCGGGCCACCGACAGCTCGAAGGCGAGCGTGCCCGCGTGGGCATCGCGATCGGATCCTGGCGGCGGCGGCGGGCCGGCGTCCAGGATCACCAGGGTACGGCCGCTTTGCAGCCGTTGAAAACCGCTCTGAGGCGCGGACATGCGCGGTCTGCGTCGTGCATCCGCCCGCTGCAGGACCAGGTCGACCTTAAAGCCCTGCTCGGGGAGGCTGCCGTTGAACAGAGCCAAACCGCCGTCGCCGTGCTGATAGAGACGCAGCATCGGCGCCATCGCCTCGATCGCGGTGACCAGGTTGGAGGGCACCGTTCGGCCGGCGGCATGCAGCGTGGCGCGCAGATCGATCAGATCGCGCAGCATCGCCAGATGATGCGCGGGACTGCGTTCGATCTGCCCGCCGTCCGGCAGAATCTGACGAGCGAGTTCGATCTCCAGCAAGGCGAGACCGCGGCGCATCTGAGACAGACAGCCAGGCAGGCAGGCGCCGGCGATGATCAGCCCTCGCAGCGCGAGAACCAGGTCCGCACCGTTCAATCCAGCCGGCAGCACGCGCCCCAGATGACGCGTCTGGCGGGCTGCGGAATGCAGCAGATCGCGGCGAAACTCCGTCTCGGCACTGGCCGCGAAGAAATCCCACTGTCCAAGCCAGTGTGACAGTCGGCGCGACGTCGTCAGCGGCGCCCAGGCACGCCGGTCGAACCGGCTGTGCTCTGCAAGCCAGCTCTCCGTCAGTTCCCGGGCGCGGCGTCTGGCGCTGTCGCCCGCCGTTGCGCGCAGGTCGCGCAACCAGGCAAAGCTGTGGAGTTCCTCCAGCCAAGCGCCCCCGGCGTCGGCTGGGTGCCAGAGCGGTTGCGGATTCTGCAATGTCTGGCCGTCCAGGGACCAGCTGCCCTCTAACAGGGCGGCGCCGGCGTCGACGTCGCCCGGCCAGGGGTCGGGCGGTGTCGCCTGCGGGGTGATAGCGTCGCAGCCGGCGAGCGTCCAGTCGTAGACCGGCAGAGTGAAAAGGGGGCTTTTGGCGGCATAGGCCAAGCGTCCCAAGAGGAGGCCGCGCGGTAGCGCCCAAAGCTTGCGCCAGCGGACGAAGAGGCCGGGCTCTCCGCGTGATCGGCGCCGATACCTGCGCTGCGCGTCCGGCGCCGGGGCCTCGGCCAAGCCGCGTTCGCCCATGGCTGCTACGCCGCCTCCGCGCCTCAGGCGCCGCGCAGGGCGCGGATGTTTCCGGCGTAGGCCTGAGGTCCGCCTTTGAAGGTCGCGGTGCCTGCGACCAGCACGTCCGCACCTGCGGAGATGGCCTGGGGCGCGGTTTCCCGGTTGATCCCGCCGTCGACCTCCAGGTCGATTTCGCGTCCGCTGGCGTCGATCATCGCGCGCAGGGTCCGGATCTTCTCGAGCGTTTCGGGAATGAAGGCCTGTCCGCCGAAGCCGGGATTCACGCTCATCACCAGGATCAAGTCCAGGTCGCCCAGCACCGGCTCGACGACTGATGCTGGGGTTGCGGGATTCAGCGAGACTCCAGCTTTCTTGCCGCAGGCTTTGATCAGTTGCAGTGTTCGATGCAAATGGAAACCCGCCTCGGGATGAACCGTCAGGATGTCCGCGCCTGCCTTGGCGAAGGCCTCGATGTAGGGATCGGCGGGGGCAATCATGAGGTGCACATCGAAGGTCTTGGCCGAATGCGGCCGCAGTGCAGCCACCACTTGCGGACCGATCGTGATGTTCGGAACAAAGTGGCCGTCCATCACGTCGACGTGCAGGTAGTCGGCCCCAGCGGCGTCGACGGCGCGCACTTCCTCGCCCAGGCTGGCGAAGTCGGCGGAAAGAATGGACGGCGCGATCCGGATAGGCTGCTGCATGACCGTTTGACTATCAGCGCCCGGCGCTGCCGTCAAAGCGGGAAAGCGGCTTTGCTTCCGCCAGGTCCGCGCCGAATTCGTGACAGCGACGGGATCGCTACTGCGCCGCCGGCTCTTTGCCGGTGTGCACCGTCCTGGGCGCGGCCGGTCCGCGACGTCGGACGGCCTGGCGGATCTCGCGGCGCGACAGACCGATATCTTTGAGAAGCCGGTCGTCCAATTCCGCAAGATGTTCTTCTGCGCATAGGGCTGCGTAGGCACGGACAAGCCGGCCGAGCCCAAGGCGGAGCCAGGCAAGACGCGGCCAGCCAAGGCTGAGCCCGCGGTTCTCCTTGACGACAGCCGACACCGGCAGCCTACCGCCTTTCGACCCACGGTCGACCTTCTCGGAAACCATGTGCTGGGCCTCCTCAAGCTCACCTGGAACGGTTTCATTTCGGAGGTCTTGATATCAGCTTGCCAGCAGGGAATGGTTCGCCCATGATCGAACCATGAAGCACGGCCCGGACATTGCCTACATCGCGTCGCTGATCGGCGATCCTGCGCGCGCCAACATCCTAACCGCACTGCTCGGCGGCCTGTCGCTAACAGCCAGCGAACTCGCGGTCGAAGCCGGAGTGACAAAACAGACCTGCAGCTCGCATTTGGCGCGGTTGCAGCAGGCCGAGTTGATAGCGGTGGAGACACAAGGCCGGCATCGCTACCACCGTCTGGCGGATAGCGGTGTCGCGGAGCTGCTTGAGAACCTTATGGGGGTCGCGGCTGCCCGCCGTCCCACCCGCGTTCGCCCGGGGCCCAAGGAGACTGCCTTGCGGCAGGCGCGTGTCTGCTACGACCACTTGGCCGGCGACCTCGGCGTATCTCTGTTCGACGCTCTGGTTCGCGATGGCGCTCTTCGACTGCATCATGGCCAGCCACGGCTGACGGACCGTGGACGGGTCGAAATGCTGGACTTCGGGATCGACCTCGCCGCGCTGGGCAAACTGCGCCGTCCGCTCTGCCGCAGCTGTCTCGACTGGAGCGCGCGCCGCAGCCACCTCGCCGGTGCTTTAGGCGCGGCGCTCCTGCAGCGGCTGTTCGAACTCGGATGGGCGCGGCGTATCGAGGGCACCCGCATCGTCGACTTCACGCAGACGGGCCAGGTTGCGCTAACGAAGCGGTTCGCGCTGTCGCCTTGACGACACAACAGAATCCCCGGTTGGGGGAGCTCTACGATCCGATTTGTTCGAAGCTGGTCGGCGCAGCTTCGCGCAACTCAATCGTGCTGCGCTGCAACTGCAGGACCGCGAGACCGCGTTGCGTCGTGCCGTCAGGCCGAAGGCGGAAGATTCCGTCGACTCCCGTAAAGCCGTTCGGATCCGTCAGATCTTCCATTCTGTAGTCGGGGGCGGAGCCGGCCTGTTCCGCTTCTCGGGCCAGGACCGCGGCGAGTGCCGTGGCGTCGTAGGCCAGTGAGGCCAAGCGCGGCGGGATCTCGCCGTAGAGTTCGCGATAGCGGTTCGACCAGCTCTCCCAACCGCTGCGACCAGGGGCGGCAAACCATCCGCCGACCAACGCGGCTTCCTGACCCAGGTTGGCGTCTTCCCAAAGCTGGGTGCCGAGATACTGGGTTTCGTCAGGGTCGATATCGTAGAAGGGCAACAGCGTGGCCAAGCCGAGCAGTTCATTGCCGCCGGCCGGAACCAGAAGGGCATCGTAGCTGTCACGCGCTGCGGCAAGTTGCTGGACGATCGGACCGGCGTCCGTCACGGCAAAGGGATCGTAGATCGCGACTTGAGTGACGAAGCCGCCGTAGCGGGTCGCAGCCTGTTGAAGCGCCTGCAGAGTCGCGTCGCCATAGGGGTTGCGCGGCGCCAGAACGGCAAAGCGGGTGATGCCTTGCCGGGTGGCATAGTCGATCACGCGGTCGACCTGGGCCGTCGGATCGAGACCGATGACCCAAACGCCTCGCCCCCCGACCGTCCGGTCGTTGGAGAAGGCGACGACGGGCACCTGTCGGCCGCGGGCCTGCGGCGCGGCAGCCGCCACCGAGGTCGAAAAGAGCGGGCCGAGGACGAGGTCGGCCCCTTCGTTCAAGGCGGCCTGCATCGCCTGCTCGGCACCCTCAGGCCGTCCACCGGTGTCATGCAGCGTCAGCTCGAAGTTTTGCCCGCCGACGTCGAACAGCGCCATCTGCGCTGCGTTCAAGAGCGCCTGCCCAAGCGTACCTTGTGCCCCGGTCATAGGCAGCAGAAGGGCGACCGTCGCTTCGCCGGGCTCCCGAACGGGCGGCGGCGGGGGGGCCGGTTGCCGTTCGACCACCGGCGGCCTTGGCGTTTGTTCGTCGCTTTGTGTTGGGGCATCATCCCGGACCGTACAGGCCGCCAGGCTGAGCAGCAGAACTCCTAACACCGCAGCACGGCCCGCGCGCGAAGGCATCCACGCACGCGAAGGTATTGTAGCGAAGGGCAGGCATGAAGGGATCACGGTCCACTCCCGCTGGTGGAACTGGTAAGGGCTTTGACGCCGCTACCCTTGATCGGGAAGGCGGCACGGCCGAGCTTGAAACCGCTACGAAGCTGTTGCGGATCGAAACGCCATTGAGGCCTCTCGATCCTGCCTTGTATCTGGTTGCCTGCCCGATCGGCAACTTGGCGGATGTCACGTTGCGGGCGCTTTCGACCTTGGCGCAATGTGATCTGCTGGTGTGCGAGGACACCCGCTACACCCGGCGATTGCTCCAGGCCCATGGTCTCGACCGCTCCGACCGCTCTCTTGTTGCCTACCATGAACATAACGCCGCACGGGTGCGACCGAAACTGATCGAAGCGCTCAAAAGGGGCGAGACGGTGGCGCTGGTCAGCGATGCGGGAACGCCCCTGGTCTCGGACCCCGGCTTTAAGCTGGCGCGCCTTGCTGTCGAGGCCGGTATTCGCATCGTCCCGGTTCCCGGTCCCTCGGCAGTTCTCGCCGGGCTGGTCGCCGCCGGACTGCCGAGCGACCGTTTCTGTTTCGCCGGTTTTCCACCGCCCAAGAGCGCTGCGCGCCGCCGCTGGCTCGCCGAGCTGAAGCCGATTCCGGCGACCTTGATCCTGTTCGAGGCGCCGCAGCGTCTGGCCGCCAGCCTGGCCGATATGGCCGAGGTCCTGGGCGGTGAGCGCCAAGCTGCCGTTGCGCGGGAGCTAACGAAGCTGTTCGAGGAAGTGCGGCGTGCGCCCCTGGCCGAACTGGCTGCGGACTATGCCGCGGAGAACCGGCCCAAGGGCGAGATCGTGGTTCTTGTCGGCCCTCCGCTGGCCGAAGTGACCGACGCGGCGGCGCTGGATGTCGCTTTGCGGACGGCGCTGGCGAACAGCGACAGCCTAAAGGACGCGGTTCAGGCGGTACAGACGGCGACCGGCCTGCCACGCAAGCAGATCTACGCCCGTGCTCTGGTCTTGTCGGAGTCGCAGTCGGCGTCCGGCTTGGAAGGTAGCAGCGATGCGGACCCTTGAGTCACGCCGGCAGGCCTATGGCGCAGGCCGCAGGGCCGAAGGTATCGCGGCCTGGTGGTTGCGTTTGAAAGGCTACCGGGTTCTCGCGCGGGGCCTGCGCCTGCCAGCCGGCGAGATCGATCTGGTCGCACGACGCGGCCGCTGTCTGGCCTTCGTGGAGGTCAAGCGACGTGCCACCGAGGCTGCGGCTCTGGAGGCAGTGACGCCGCGTCAGCGGCAGCGAATCGTACGTGCGGCCGAGGCTTGGCTCGCGCAGCGGCCGGATCTCGCCGGCCTCGATCTTCGTTTCGACGCTCTGCTGCTGGTTCCGGGGTGCTGGCCGCGGCACCTGCCCGATGCCTGGAGATCGTGAGCATGTATCGCCTTGCTCCAACTCTCAGCCGCCCTTGCGCCTCCGACGGGCCGCGGCGAGAATCGGTCTCCGGCAGCAAATCCTCCTCTGGCATTTTCCGACCGGCGCCTTACCCTCCTGCTGCGATGTTTTTCGGGTCGGCACCATACCCTGCCCGCCGTATCGGGCGGCGGCGTCCATGAACTGGTCACTGGCAAGCGGCCGGCAGGACCTGGAGTCCGCCTTGCGCCAGGTCGGCAGCCAGCCGGACATCCAGATCGATCTGGCGGAGACGGCTTTGCTTTTGGCTGCTCTCGACCAGCCGAAGCTGCCTCTGGAGCGCTATCGCCATCATCTCTCCTTGATGGCACGCGATACCGCCGACCTGGCGGCCAAGTCTGAGGGAGAGAGCGAGCTGCAGATGCGGCTTCAGGTGCTGCGGCAGGTGATCTTCGAGCGTTACGGCTATGCTGGCGACGAGGAGACCTACGACGACCTGCAGAACGGCAACCTGATGCGGGTGATCGACCGTCGCTGCGGTCTGCCGGTGGCACTTGGCATCCTGGTGGTTGCGACCGCCCGCGCCCAGGGGTGGGACGTGTCCGGTTTGGCCTTTCCCGGCCACTTTCTATTGCAGTTTCAGGCGGGCTCCGAGCGCGCCGTCGTCGATCCCTTCAACGGTCTGCGCGAGCTGCGCGCAGCGGATCTGCGCGAACTGCTGAAGGTGCTGGCCGGCGTCGAAGCCGAATTGAAGCCGGAACACTATGCCCCCGTCGGCAATCGCGACATCCTGCTGCGTCTGCAAAACAACCTGAAACTTCGTCATCTGCGTGAGCAACGGCCCGAACAGGCACTGGAACTGGTCGAGTCGATGCTGCTGATCGCGCCGGATCAGGCGGGTCTTTGGCGGGAAGCCGGTCTGTTGCACGCCCACCTCTCCAACCTGCGTGCCGCCATCGTCAGTCTCGAACACTTTCTCGAACTGGCTCCGGTCGGCAGCCAGTCGCAGGAAGCCGACGAACTGCTTCGCCAGCTCCGCAACAGACTCAATTGATCCGACCCGCGCGGGCCAGCTTCCGCCGCCGGCGCTCGGGTGCTACCAGAGAGCGCATAGTCTCTGCAGCCGGGAGTTCGATCCTCTATGTCCGCTTCGCCATCACCTTTGGCCGTCGCTATTCAGATGGACCCCATCGAGGGTGTCGACATCAACGGCGACAGTACCTTCGCGCTGGCGTTGGAGGCGCAGGCACGCGGTCACGCGCTCTGGCACTATCTGCCGCAGGATCTGAGTTTTCACCATGGCCGGCTGACGGCACGCGCCCGGCAGCTCGAGGTCCGGCGAGAGCCTGGTGCCCACTTTACGCTCAGCGCGTTCCAGACACTCGACCTGGGCGGCGTCGATGTGGTGCTGATGCGTCAGGATCCGCCCTTCGACATGGCCTACATCACGGCCACCCATCTGCTGGAGCACGTTCACCCGACGACGCTGGTGGTCAACGATCCCGTCAGCGTGCGCAACGCTCCGGAGAAGCTTTTCGTTACTCACTTCGCCGAGCTGATGCCGCCGACTCTCATCACCAGCGACCGTGCCGAGGTCGTCGCCTTTCGCGCAGAACATGGCGATATCATCGTCAAGCCGCTGTTCGGCAACGGCGGTGCCGGCGTCTTCCACCTGACGCCGGAAGACGAGAATCTCAACGCCCTGCTTGAGCTTTTTACCGAGCTCTATCGCGAGCCGATCATCGTCCAACGCTATCTGCCCGAGGTGCGCCGGGGCGACAAGCGTATCATCCTGGTCGACGGCGAGCCGGCGGGAGCGATCAACCGTGTGCCCGCCAAGGGCGAGGCCCGTTCCAACATGCACGCCGGCGGCCGCGCGGAGAAGGCGGAGCTGACGCAGCGCGATCTCGACATCTGCCATGCCCTCGGCCCGATCCTGCGGGAGCAGGGCTTGATCTTCGTCGGGATCGACGTGATCGGCGACTATCTGACCGAGGTCAACGTCACCAGCCCGACCGGCATCCAGGAGATCGATCGCTTCGACGGCGCCAATCTTTCCGGCCTGATCTGGGATGCTATCGAAAAGCGGATCGACCGGGCGGTTGAATAGGCAAGGGAGCCAGGCCCGTAGGTGCCGCAGCCCGGTTTTGCTGCTCCGCTTTAGCGGTTCGCGAACTCGCTCCGTCAGCTTCCGCTACTGCTGTAGCACTTCGATATCTCGATAGAGCTCCAGGGCTTCGGGATTGGCCAGCGCTTCCCGGTTCTTGACCGTGCGGCCGTGGACCAGATCGCGGACGGCCAGCTCGACGATCTTACCGGACTTGGTTCTTGGGATATCGGTCACCTGAACGATCTTGGCCGGGACGTGGCGCGGTGTTGCGCCATCCCGGATGGTCTGTTTGATGCGCTTTTCCAAGGCTTCGTCCAGCAGGCCGCCCTCGCGCAGGCGCACGAAGAGAACGACCCGGACGTCGCCCTGCCAGTCCTGACCGATCACAATGGATTCCACCACCTCCGGGAGCTTCTCGACCTGGCGGTAGATCTCCGCCGTTCCGATGCGCACGCCGCCGGGATTGAGGGTGGCGTCCGAACGGCCGTAAACGATCACGCCATCGTGGCGCGTCAGCTCGACGAAGTCGCCGTGGCACCAGACGCCGGGGAAGCGCTCGAAGTAGGCGGCACGATAGCGCGTGCCATCGGAATCGCCCCAGAAACGTAGCGGCATGGAGGGGAAGGGCCTCACGCAAACGAGTTCCCCCTTCTGCTCGCGCACCGCCTTGCCTTCATCGTCCCAGACCTCCACGGCCATGCCGAGGCCGCGGGCCTGAATCTCGCCGCGATGAACGGGGCCGATGGGGTTGCCCAGCACGAAGCAGGCGAGGATGTCCGTGCCGCCCGAAATGGAGGCGAGACTGACGTCCGGCTTGATGCTCCTGTAGACGTAGTCGAAGCCTTCCGGCACCAGGGGACTGCCGGTCGAGCAGATCGTGCGCACCGTCGCGAGGTCGTGCGTTTCCCTGGGCGCCAGTTCCGCCTTGTTGCAGGCATCGATGTACTTGGCGGAGGTGCCGAACAGGGTCATGCCTTCGGCGTCGGCGTAGTCGAACAGAATGTTGCCGTTTGGCGCGAAGGGCGAACCGTCATACAGCAACAGCGTCGCCTCGCAGGCCAGGCTTGCGACCAGCCAGTTCCACATCATCCAGCCGCAGGTGGTGAAGTAGAAGACGCGGTCGCCGGACCTGACGTCCGCATTCAGGCGATGCTCCTTCACCTGCTGGATCAAGGTGCCGCCGACGCCGTGGACGATGCACTTGGGCTTCCCGGTGGTGCCCGAGGAGTACATCACATAAAGCGGCGCGTTGAAGGGCACCCGAACATAGTCGATCGCGCGCGCCTCGTAGGGTTTCAAGGCGTCGTCCAGGGTAACTGCTCCCGGAAGCTCCGAGGCGGCCTGCGGCCGGCCGAGCAAAGGGCAAACGACCGTCTTTACGACGCTCGGAAGCTGGGGCAGGAATTCCCGGACCTTCGGCAGGGTGTCGATTTCCTTGCCGTTGTAGAAGTAGCCGTCCGGAACGAAGAGCACCTTGGGCTCGATCTGGCCGAAGCGATCAAGGACGCCCTGAACTCCGAAGTCCGGCGAGCAGGAAGACCAGATCGCGCCGAGTGAGGTGGTGGCGAGCATAGCCGCCACCGTCTCCGGCATGTTCGGCATGAAGCCGGCCACCCGGTCGCCCTGGCCGACGCCCTGGTCCTTCAGAAGCTGTTGAAGCCGGCTGACCAGGGCTTGAAGCTCATGCCAGGAAACACGCCGCTTGACCTTGTCCTCGGCCCAGAAGACCAGGGCATCGCCATCATCGCTCCGGCGCAGCAGGTTCTCGGCGAAGTTCAGTCGGGCCTCCGGAAAGAACTGTGCACCGGGCATCTTGTCGCCCTCGACCAGCACGGGCGTGCCTGATGGGCGTTCTCCGATCAGTCCGCAGTAATCCCAGATCGCCGTCCAGAAGGTCTCCAAGTTGTCGATCGACCAGTCGCGAAGCTGTTCGTAGTCGCCAATTTCGACGCCCGCTGTCTGCTTGAGATACTGCAGAAACCCGGTGAGCTGTGCTTCGGCGATCCGCTGGGGAGAGGGGGTCCAAAGCGGCGACTCCGCGAGAGAAGACGCTGGGGGAGAAATTGAGGACATGGGGCGGTCGGCTCGCAGTCGTGGCGTGATGAGGCTCGGTTCCAGGCTGCTGGGACCGGGTCAAGGAAAGCGGTGTAAGACTAGTGCAGGATGACTGCGAGTGAAATTGCTTTGCTGCCTGGGAGCACGCTGACCGCCTGGCCGGCAAGGCATCGTGCAGGCGTGCCATGCGGGGGCGGACCTACTCTCGCGCGGTAGGAGCCTCTAGACTTGGGGATCTATGTCTGACGGTCCCTCTAAAAACGAAGCCGCCAAAGATCTTGAGGCGGCCGATTCCGCTTCAGCAGCGCAGTCTTCGACCAGTAGACCTCCGGCTGGTCGCTCGGCTCCGGCAACTGGAGGGCGAGCGCTTAGTGCGGCTATGACCGGCGCCCTGTACATGACCGCGGCGTCGCTCGGCTTCTCGGTCATGAACGTCCTGATCCGTGAAGTCTCTGTCGAGCTGGAAGCAGCCCAGATCGCCTTTTTCCGCAACTTTTTCGCAGCCGCCGTGATGCTGCCCTGGCTGTTGCACAGTGGCGTGACCAAGGCTCTGGCAACCGAGAACTTGCGGCTGCATCTGCTGCGCGCCGGCATCGGCCTTACGGCCATGCTTTGCTGGTTCTATTCGATCTCCCTGCTGCCGCTGGCACAGGCCGTGGCGCTCAACTTCACGGTTCCGCTCTTTGCGACGCTCGGCGCCGCCGTCGTTCTGCGAGAGGTGGTGCGAGCCCGACGCTGGAGCGCGACGCTGATCGGCTTTCTCGGGGTTCTGATCATCCTGCGGCCGGGCACGACCGAGATTTCGCTCGTGACGGCTTTGCCGGTGCTGGCCGCAGTGTTCATGGCCGCCTCGGTTTTGGCCGTGAAGGCGCTCTCGGCGCGCGATGCGCCGGCCACCATCGTGCTGTGGATGAACCTTTTGCTGACGCCCTTGTCGCTGATCCCGGCGCTTTTCGTCTGGCGTTGGCCCAGCCTGGAGGCCTTGGTCATGATGGCGGCGATCGGTGCCGTGGCCGTGCTCTCTCACATAGCCCTGACCCGCGCCTACGCCCGGGCCGATGCCTCGGCCGTGCTCCCGTTCGACTATGCACGGCTGCCCTTTATCGCTTTTTTCGCCTTCCTGCTGTATGGCGAGGTTCCCGACCTTTGGACCTGGGTCGGCGCTGCCGTGATCGCCGCCTCCTCGATCTACATCGCGCAACGCGAGGCGAAGGTTGCGCGGGAGCGGGCGGCCAGCGGGGTTGCCGCCGCCGGGCCGCAAGGCCGGGAGTGAAAGTTGGCGGCGTGGTAGCGTTGCGAGCGGCACGGGCGCAGGGGAAGGACCGACTCTAGACCATGGCGTTGCGGACCAAGGCGCAAGCCCTGTCGCCCAATCTGGAGGGCGCGCTCTGGATGCTGGCCTCGGCCTTGGTCTTCACGGCCAACGGCGTGCTGGTCAAGGCCTTGGCCGAGACCGGCATGTCCTTTTTTCAGATTGCGTTGGCGCGTGCTGGGTTCGCCCTGATCGCCATCTCGCCCTTCGTCTACCTGGCCGGGCGTCAGGCCTTACGCACCGCCTATCCCGGCACCCACCTCGTGCGCGCGATCTGCGGCGCGGGTGCCATGCTATCGGGCTTCTACGCGCTGTCCCGTCTGCCGCTCGCCGATGTCACGGCAATCGGTTTCACGACACCCCTCTTTGCGACCGTGCTGGCAATCTTTCTCTTGGGCGAAGCGGTGCGCTGGCGGCGTTGGACGGCGACGCTGGTCGGCTTCGGCGGCGTTCTGATCATGTTGCGACCAGATGCTCTGCTGACCGGTGAGGGCATCACTCTCGACGGTTTCCTGGCGGCGCTCGGCATGGCGCTGGGCATCGCCGTGGCCGTCATCATGGTCAAGCGCCTGCCGAAGAGCGAGCACCAGTCGGTGATGCTGCTGTGGTTTTGTCTGGCTTCCATCGCGCTGGCGGTCGGGCCCGCGATTCTCGCGTGGCAGGACCCGACACTCGAGCAGTGGCTGATGCTGGCCGGCGTTGGAGTGATCGGCGTGTCCGGCCAGTCGCTCATTATCCGTGCCTACCGCGCAGGCGAAGCCAGCTTCGTCGCACCCTTCGACTACTCGAAGATCCTCTTCGCCATGGCGTTCGGTTTCCTCTTCTTCGCCGAAGTGCCGGAGAGCTGGACCCTGGCCGGCGCTGCGGTCATCGTGGCCAGTACGCTCTACATCGCCCGCCGCGAAACCAAGCTGGGGACCCGAAAGGAGCGCGAACGCGCCGGTGTCGTCGAATGAGAGCGAGGCTTCGCGCGACCTTGCGACCTTCTCGTGCCTTGCACCGCCGATCTTTCGGGCGGCGTTTCTACTGCGCTACTCCAACACCACTGCCGTCCCGTTGGCGCTGACCATCAGCATGGAGTCGCCGACCGTTTCGTAGTCCAGGTCGACACCGACGATGGCGTTGGCGCCCAGCGCTTCCGCCTTTTCCACCATGTCGCCAATCGCCTCGTCCTTGGCGTCGCGCAGGGCTTTCTCGTAGGCGCCGGCGCGGCCGCCGACGATGTCGCGGATGCGCGCGAAGAGATCGCGGAAGATATTGGCGCCGATGATGCACTCCCCGGCGACGATCCCCTTGTAGGCGACGATCCGTTTGCCCTCGACTCCATTGGTGGTGACCACCAGCATGGCACCCTGCGCTCCCTCTTCCTGGATGACCCGACTTCGCGTGACGATAGCGCGCTTGTACCCTTCGGCGATAGCGGGCAGGGTCCGCCACTATGAGCTTCGCCGCGCCGCCCGAGCCCGCCGTGCCTGATGCCACCCCGGAAGGGGCCGGCCGGAGAGGCATCGCCGCCTGGTGCCTTTACGACTGGGCGAACTCCGCTTTCCCGACCGTGATCGTTACCTTCGTCTTCGCCGCCTACGTCACCAACGTGATCGCGGAGACGCCCGAGATCGGCACAGGCCAGTGGGGGCTCGCCATGGGTCTCTCGGGCCTGGTCATCGCGCTGTTGAGCCCTGTTCTGGGGGCCATCGCCGATCAGAACGGTCGCCGCAAGCCCTGGATCGCGGTGCTTGCATTGCTGTGTGTCGTGGTCGGCTGCCTGCTCTGGACTGTTGAGCCCGTTGCGGGCGCGCTGATCTGGGCACTGGTCCTGGTGGCGGCCGCCAATGTCGCCTTCGAGATTGGGACAGTCTTCTATAACGCCATGCTGCCGGAGGTGGCGCCCCGGGGAAAGATGGGTCGCATTTCCGGCTGGGCCTGGGGGGCCGGCTATGCGGGGGGGCTTGCCTGCTTGGCGGCCTGCCTGCTGCTGTTCGTTCAGCCCGAGGTGCCGCTGTTCGGTCTCGACAAGGACGCCTACGAGCATGTGCGCGCGACCGGCCCCTTCGTCGGCCTGTGGTTCCTGCTCTTCGCTTTGCCGATGTTTCTCCTCACGCCGGATCGTCCAGCTTCGGGAAAGCCGGCGGGCGAGGCTGTCAGGTCTGGTCTCAAGACCCTATGGGAAACGCTGAGGAAGCTGCCGCGCTATGGGACTATCCTGCGGTTCCTGATCGCACGGATGTTCTATACGGACGGGCTGAACACGCTCTTTGCCTTCGGCGGTATCTACGCCGCCGGCACCTTCGGCATGAGCTTCGACGAGATCCTGGTCTTCGGCATTCTGTTGAACGTGACGGCGGGTCTCGGTGCCGTCGGCTTCGCCTGGATCGACGATTGGATTGGGCCGAAACGTACAGTCCTGATCGCGGTTGTTTGTTTGATTGTGTTGGGCACCGCGATCCTGCTGGTGGAATCGAAGCTCTGGTTCTATCTGCTGGGCTGCGCGATCGGCGTCTTTATCGGCCCCGCCCAGTCGGCGAGCCGAACCCTGATGGCGCGGCTCGCACCGGCCGAGCTGCGGACCGAGATGTTCGGCCTCTATGCCCTGTCGGGTAAGGTCACCGCCTGGATGGGACCGATCTTGGTCGGTTTCGTTACGGTGCTGGCGGACAGTCAGCGCTGGGGCATGGCGACGATCCTGCTGCTCTTCATCATCGGCGGCCTGCTCCTGCTCCCGCTCAAGGAGCCGCCGGCGGAACGCTGACGAAAGCGAAATCCGACCGACGGCATCGCCTCACGAGACCACACGGCGAAGGTCACTCTAGGATGTCGCCCAGGGGCGTCCGGAGGGTCGGGTGTAGCGTTCGCGCAGGCACCCGTAGCATTTCAGGAGGCTCGCAAGAGGGCGAATGGCGGCCCCGAAGCTTTCGCGCAGAGCTCTGCCCTGCAGGGCGCGACCGCGCGCCAGATGGGCGGCGATCTCTGTATCGCTTGAGATCGCGCCGGGAGAATAGAGGGCGGTGGGCTGGACAGATACGGTCATGGCGGGCTCTCCTGTAGACCGGCCCAATAGGTCGGCGGGGAAGGGTCGCAAGGGGTGGGTTGCAACCTCACGGACAGGGTATTACCGATGTTTGCGTCACAGAATGCCCGTCTTTGGCAAAGTATTTGAGATTTTTTGGAACAAATAGATGGCAGCGGTGAACAATATCAACGAGATGGAGATCTTCGTCCGGGTGGTGCAGGCCAAGTCCTTTTCGGCTGCAGCCCGCGCGCTGGACCTCTCGCCTTCCGCCGTGTCGAAGCAGATCGGACGATTGGAGGATCGGCTGGGCGCACGGCTGTTGAACCGCACGACGCGACAGCTTTCCCTGACCGAGGTCGGCCAAGCCTTCTATCAGCGGGCTGAGCGCATCATCGCGGACATCGTCGAGGCGGAGCAGGCGGTGGGCGATTTGCACGCGGCTCCGCGTGGCCTGCTGCGCGTCAATGCGCCCGTCGCCTTCGGCCGATTGCACATGGCGCCGCTGCTGCCGAAGTTTCTGGAGAGATATCCTGAGATTTCCGTCGAGCTGACCGTCAACGACCGCTTCGTTGATCTGATCGAGGAAGGCATGGATTTGGCGCTAAGGATCGGAGAGCTGGCGGACTCCTCCTTGATCGCAAAGCGTTTGGCACCGAACCACCGGGTGGTCTGTGCAGCGCCGGCCTACCTGGCGGCACGGGGAACCCCGCGGCTGCCGGCCGACCTGCAGAAACACAACTGCATGACCTACACCTTCCGAACCAACCGCCATGACTGGCGGCTGGAGAAGGACGGCGTGGCCGAAGCCGTCACGGTGTCCGGCAACCTGGAGACCAACTACGCCGAGGTCCTGATGGCTGCTGCGCTGGCCGGCAGCGGCATCGTGCTGCTGCCTCTGTGGCTGGCCGGGCCGCAACTGACCTCGGGCGAGCTGGTCGAGGTGCTGCCCGATTGGCAGGCTTCGGACAGCGCAATCTACGCCGTCTATCCGCACGCCCGACATCTCTCTCCGAAGGTGCGGGTCTTCGTCGATTTTCTGACCGAAGAGGTCGGCCGTCTCGCCCAATGCTGGGAGCGTGAGCCGGCGGATGCGCGGGCCGCGCGGCACTCAGCAGCCTAGAGTCAGGATCGCCTGAGAGGGAGACCGCTACCTCAGCGATCTCATCCCAGGCGTGAATTGTGTTCCAAACCCTGACCGCACCGCCGTGTCCGGAGGGCGTCTCCGGCGATCAGGCCATGCGCAGGCCGCCGTCGAAGCGGATGGTTTCCATGTTCAGCATCGGGTTGCCGGCGATGTGCAGAATCAGATCCGCGAATTCCTCGGGGCTGCCGAAACGCTTCGGGAAGATCGGTTGCTGCGCCAGATTTTCCTGAACCTCTTCCGGCATGTTGAGCAGAAGCGGCGTCCCGATCAGGCCCGGCGCGATCGAGAGGACGCGCACGCCGAAGCGGCCGAGCTCGCGGGCTGCCGGTGCATTGAGGCCATTGATCCCTGCCTTCGAGGCGGCATAGGCCGCTTGCCCAACTTGGCCTTCTGTGGCGGCCACCGATGAGGTCGAGACGATCACGCCTCGCTCTCCGTCCTCGTTCAATGGCTCGGCCGCACTCATCTCGGCGGCAGCTAGGCGCAGCATATTGAAACTGCCGATCAGATTGACGCGGATCACCGTCTCGAAGGCGGCGAGATCCATGGGTCCTTCGCGTCCGACGATGCGTTTGGCAGGCGCGATGCCGGCGCAGTTGACGAGCAGCCGGCAGGGGCCGTGGACGGCGCTCGCCTGCTTAACCGCTGCCTCCGCGCTGGCGGCGTCGCCGACGTCGCAGGCGAGGCCAAGGCCCCCGATGTCCTTGGCCACGGCGTCGGCGGTCTCGCCGTTGAGATCGATAACGCCGACCCTGGCGCCGGCCTTGGCCAGGGCGCGTGCCGTGGCCGCCCCCATGCCCGAACCGCCGCCGGTCACCAGAGCGCCCAAACCCTTGACGTCCATGAACTCCATCCTTCCCCTGTTGCCCCCGCGTCCGTTGCGCCAGAGCGGGCCGGCGGGCCTATAACACGAGCGACTGTCCGAGCAGAAGAGGCCGGCCAAACCGCCAGCGCTGAGGAGAGTCTTTCGTTCTTCTCCGCAAAGGCTATCTTGGCGGCCATGCTGATGCTTCAGGTTCCTCGCCCCGCCCTCTGGATCGGCTTTGCCGGGCTTATTCCCTTCGCTGCCGGTGCTCTTGCCGTCTGGGCGTTGCCCCAGGGGTGGAATGACTTCGCCCAGTTCATCCAGATGGCCTACGCCGCCTGCATCCTGTCGTTCATGGGGGCCGTGCATTGGGGACTGGCCATGGCCGGCACCGGAGTGGCTGGGCCGGGTGTCGCCGAGGCGGGCGCGCCCGGAGGGGACAGCCACGCCGGCATGACCTGGACGCGCACCATCGGGTCGGTGATCCCACCGCTGCTCGGATGGCTGTCCCTGGTGATGGCGCCGCTGCCCGGCTTGATCCTGTTGATCCTTTCCTTTGTCGGGCTGTTCTGGGCCGACCTTCAGGCGATCCGTCTCGGCCAGGCACCGACCTGGTATCTGCCACTGCGCAAGGCGCTGACCATCGGCGTGGTGATCTGCCTGGGGATCTCCTTGATGCGCCTGGTGATGTGACGGCGCCTCGACTTAAGCGGACTCTTGCGGTCCCGTCTTCCCACAGCCGGCATTCGACGTTACATGCCGGCAGAATGTCGTCCGCTGCTTCCTCCCCTTCCGGCCGCCCTGCACCTCCGGCGAACGCTCGGCGTATCGCTCTGGATCTGCTGCGCGCCGTTCTGCGCGGGCAGCGCCCGCTCGACGAAGCGCTGGCGAGCGAGCTGCGCCTGGCGCAGCTGGAGGCGCGGGATCGCGCGTTCGTCCGCCGCCTTGTCGCCACGACGCTGCGGCGGCTCGGGACGCTCGATGCGCTGATTGCCCGCTGCCTCGACCGTCCGCTGAAACGTGAGTTCGGGATCGTCCAGGACCTCTTGCGCCTTGGGGCCTGCCAACTCCTCATCCTCGGTACGCCGCCCCACGCGGCGGTTGCCGAGACTTTGCGGCTGGCCGAGAAGGGCAAGCAGGCCGGCTTCAAGAAGCTGATAACGGCCGTCCTGCGCCGGCTGGAGCGCGAAGGGCAGCTCTGGCTCGCCGAACTGGATACGGCTCGGGCCGATACCGCGTCCTGGCTGTGGGACTCCTGGTCGGCGGCCTATGGCGAGCCGTTGCTGCGGGCGATCGCGGCGGCTCAGACCACGGATCCCCCGCTCGACCTCAGTCTGGTCGACCCCGCGACGGCGGAGGCTTGGGCCGAGCGTTTGGGTGCCACGATCTTGCCCACGGGGTCTCTGCGTTTACCGTCCGGCAGCGGCGAGGTCGCGCGTCTTGCTGGCTATGAGGAGGGCAGTTGGTGGGTGCAGGATGCGGCGGCCGCTCTGCCGGTTCACTTGCTAGGTCCGCTAACGGGGCGACGGGTCTTGGAGTTCTGTGCGGCACCCGGGGGGAAGACGGCGCAGCTGGCCGCGGCCGGCGCTCAGGTCGTCGCAGTCGACGCCGACGAGGGGCGCTTGACCCGGTTGATCGAGAATCTCAATCGCCTGCGGCTGGCCGCTGCGACCGTGGCAGCGGATGCGGCGCGCTGGCGACCGCCGAGCCCGGCCGAGGCCGTGCTGCTCGATGCGCCCTGCTCCGCCACCGGGACGTTGCGCCGGCACCCCGACATTGCCCAGCTCAAACGGGCCGAGGATCTGCCCGCCATCGTGGCCGTTCAGAAGCGGCTGCTTGCCAATGCCATCGCCTGCGCCGAGCCGGGCGCGCCCGTTGTCTACGCCGTCTGCTCGTTGCAGCCGGAAGAAGGGCCGGAGGTCGTGGCGTCGGTCCTAGCGGCCGGTGCACCGGTCACACGCGAGCGGATCGATCCGCAGGAGATCGGCGGCCTTGCGGACTTGATCGATCGCGAGGGCGCGCTCCGCACCTTGCCGTGTCACCTTGCCGAGCAGGGCGGACTCGATGGCTTCTATGCCTGCCGGCTCAGAAAACGCTTGGAAAGCGGATAACCCGACGGGGTCCTGGCATCATCCGACCAACGGGGTCTCAGGATCAGAAGGGCAGTTTCATCCCGCCCGGAAGCTCCAGCCCGCCGGTGATCTCCTTCATCTGCTCTCCGGCCGCCTGCTCGACCTTGGCGCGTGCATCGTTCACGGCGGCCAACACCAGGTCTTCCAGGACTTCGATCTCGTCCGGTGCGGCCAGCGAAGGATCGATGCGCACGGCCTTGACGTCGCCTTTTCCGGTCATGGTGATCTTCACGAGGCCGCCGCCCGCCTGACCCTCAATCTCCGCCTCGGCCAAGCGTTCCTGCATCTCGGCCATCTTCTGCTGCATCTGCTGGGCCTGCTTCATCATCTGGCCAAGATTCTTCATGCCCCGTCCTCGCTTCGGCTGGCGGTCTCTGGATGGTCGTTGGAGGTGACGTCGGACTGGTCCGAGAGTGGAGGCCCGCTGATCACGCGGCGCAGTTTCGCACCGGGGAAGGTCTCGAGCGCCGTCTGCACCAGAGGGTGATTCTGGGCGCGCTCGTAGGCAGCCCGTTCCGCTTCTGCCTCGCGTTCTGCGAGAGTCGGCTCGCCCGGTTCGCTGGAAACGCTGACTATCCAGCGGCGGCCTGTCGCTTCCTCAAGGATCTTCGAGAGTCGGCCGGCCAGGTCGCTCGGTGCGGCGGGGCTGGGATTGAATTCAAGCTGTCCCAACTGGCAACGAACCGGCCGTACGTCGCTGCGCAGGGCGTGAAGCAGACGCACTTCCTTCAGGCTGCGAAGCAGTGCGACCACGTCTTCGAAGGTTTCCGGCGTTGGCTTTCCGCTCGGCTCGGGACGGGCGCGGATCGGAGGCGGATCCTGGATCGACGGTTGGGTCTGAGGGGGCAAGGTTGCCTGGTGTTCGTTCTCGTCGGGGGCGGGTCGGGTCAAGGGCCGGCCTCCGGCAACGGCTCGGGCGCCGTTGCCGCCAGATTGCGGCCCGGCCGTCTCTCGCGATGCCGGTGACTCGCCGCCGCTGTTTCCGCCAGCGCTCTTGCCGCGAAGCTGGCGCACCAGATCGGCCGGATTCGGCAGGTCGGCCGCGAAAGCCAAACGGATCAACACCATCTCGGCGGCCTGCAGCGGAGCCGGGGCGCGCTGGGTTTCCTCGATGCCTTTCAGCAGCAGTTGCCAGGTGCGTCCCAAGGTGCCGACGTCCAACTTGTCGGCCAGTTCGCGACCGCGCACCCGCTCCGTCTCCGGCAGTCCTTCGCCGGCCTGTTCCGGCACCAACTGCAAGCGGGTGATCCTGTGAGTCAACTCCAGGAGGTCTTGGAGCACCACCAGCGGATCGGCGCCGCCGTCATAGAGGTCGCGCAGCAGGGTCAGCGCGTCCGGCGTCTTGCCGGCCATGACGGCCTGGAAGAGATCGTAGATGCGCGCCCGGTCTGCGAGTCCGAGCATGCGCTTGACCGCGTCCGTGCCGATCGCTCCGTTCGAGAGGGCGATCGCCTGATCGAGCAGAGAGAGGCCGTCGCGCACGGAGCCGTCGGCGGCGCGGGCGATCATCGCCAGCGCCTCCTCCTCGGCGCCGACCGCCTCCTGCGCGCAGATGCCTCTGAAGTGCTCCACCAGGACCGACTGCTCGACGCGGCGCAGGTCGAAGCGTTGGCAGCGCGAGAGCACCGTGACCGGCACCTTACGGATTTCGGTTGTGGCGAAGATGAAGATGACGTGCTCAGGCGGCTCCTCCAGCGTCTTCAGCAAGGCGTTGAAGGCGTTGCGGGAGAGCATGTGAACTTCGTCTACGATGTAGACCTTCTTGCGTGCTGAAACCGGTCGGTAGCGGACGCCGTCGATGAGGTCGCGAATGTCGTCGACACCGGTTCGGCTGGCGGCGTCCATCTCGATCACGTCGACGTGGCGGTCCTCGGCGATGGCCGTGCAGTGTTCGCAAAGCCCGCAGGGCTCAGGCGTCGGCCCGCCCTTGCCGTCAGGTCCGATACAGTTCAGCGCACGGGCGATGATACGGGCTGTGGTGGTCTTGCCGACTCCGCGCACACCCGTCAGCACGAAGGCATGATGCAGGCGTCCGGTGGCCAGCGCGTTGGACAGGGTCCGGACCAGTGCATCCTGCCCGATGAGGTCCTTGAAGCTGGCGGGGCGGTACTTGCGGGCCAGCACACGATAAGGCGTGTTTGCGGACTCGCCTGTGGCAAGGGCTTCGGATGCCGTCGAGACACCAGGCGCGGGCGTGTTCGACGTCGATTCTGGGGTTATGTCCGGCGTATCCGGCATCCGCTCTCCGGCCCGGGCCAGGGCAAACGGTGGCTGGCAGGGATTGAGGTGTGAGACTGGTCGGCGACCCGGCCGGAAACTCGTTACGGCTGCTTCCTTCCGGACCTGACCGGGTTGGCGAGGCGACCGTCCGCCGCCAGCCTCACGACGCGACTATATCAGACTGTCGGCCCCTGGCGGCAAGAGGGCGTGTGAGGCTACGGCGAGGCGGAGGGGCCGAAGGCTGGTGTGCTAAGCGCCCTCCTGCGCGGTGGCTGTCACGGTGAGGCCCGAGGGAGCGGGAAGAGCGAAGCGGATCAGGCGTCCGGCGCCGTCGTACCAGAGTTCGCGTACGATTTCTCCGACCAGGGTCCAACGCGTCGCTTCCACTGTGCCCCAGCCAGTGAGCACGGTTTCGTTATGCCTTCTCAGGCTCCGGACTCGCTTGAGTTTGCCGTCGACTGTATCGACGAGGCCTTCGGCGCGCGGTGTGTCGCGATGCCAACCGGACGCGGTCATCAGATAGCCGGAGATCGCGAAACGACGATCGTCGCGGGTGCCGCGCAAGGCACCGTCTTTGCGCCACGCGCGAACCCGATGACGCGCTGGGCCGATTCGGCTGTCGCTAACCAGCCCCTGAAGCCAGCCGCCGACCCAGGTTTCCTCGACATTGTGCTCGAAAGCCAGAGGCTCGGGCGGGATGCCGGAACGCAAGCGCTGCGGCAGCAAGAGCCGGCTCTCGCTGTATGCCAGCAGGCGTCCTGCGTTCCTGTTCCGCTCAATCGCAATCCAGTGCTGTCCGGCCGGCTGGCCGGCCGCCTCCGCCGTGAAGCGAAAACGATAGTCGGCGGGGAAGACCGGAGATGCTCCCGCGAAGGCGGCAACGGCCTCGAAAGGCAGCGAAACCCCAAGCGCTGCGCCGCCCAGGAAAGTCCTGCGTGTCGATTTCATTTCCATAATACCCAGAGTCTTGCGCGCCGCGTTGCCTGGGGCAAGCCGCTGTGCCACTTTCGCCGCCATGCTGCTGCCGGCGCCCACCTCACTTGCCCCGAACGTCTATGCGGCCGGACCGTTGGACCGTGCCGAAGAGCTGCGTCGGGACGAGGTCAAGTTGGCCGGCGTGTTGACGGACTCGACCAGCCTCTTTGTTCCGGTCTGGCAGGATCGCCACCTCTTTCGCGAAGATGGGTGCGGCGGCGCGGAAGCGGTTTTTCTGTCAGCCGACCGCGCCGAAGCCCTCATGGCTGGCGGCGCCGACTCCTGCTTTCTCGGGCTTCGCGAGGGGGTCGCGTACTTCGCGCTGGACCTCGGCCATCTGGAAACACCGGATCACGCACCGGCCTTGGCGGGGCTCGGCGACTTCGCCGACCTTCGGCGTATCGGCCCGCTGCTGGCTCGCGACGATAGCGCCATCCTGGCACTTGCGCGCGCTCTGGTGCACTGGCACGGGCGGCACCGGTTCTGCGGGCTTTGCGGTGGAGAGACCCGCTCGGAACAGGGAGGGCACCTCCGCCGCTGCCAGACGCCGGACTGCGGAGCGCTTCATTTCCCGCGGACCGACCCGGCGGTGATCATGTTGGTGCACGACGGCGGCGACCGCTGTGTGCTCGGGCGACAGGCGCGATTCCCGGCCGGCATGCACTCGACCTTGGCCGGATTCGTGGAGCCCGGAGAAAGCCTGGAAGATACGGTCGTGCGCGAGGTCCATGAGGAAGTGGGACTGACGGTGCGGCAGGTGACGTATCACTCCAGCCAGCCCTGGCCCTTTCCGTCTTCGCTCATGCTCGGCTTCTACGCGGTCGCCGAGCCGGCGAGTCTGAGGATCGATCCCCATGAACTTGAGAGCGCGGCCTGGTTCACGCGGTCCGAGCTTCTGAAGTCGCCGGAGGATGACAGCTTCCGGCTGCCACGCTCGGACTCCATCGCACGCCGTCTGGTTTCGGACTGGCTGACAGGGCAATGGCAGCAGCGGTTGTGACCAAGAGGTCTTGCAAAGACCGCCCCAAGGCTAAACACCGCCCTAAGGCTGGGGCCTCAGGAGCTGACCGCCCTCGTTTGTGCTTTCTCAGTATCCGGGGCAAGCAGGAGGGCAAGGCACTGAAGCGTCCGCTCCACCTCGCTCTCCGCCGGATCGAAGGCAATGGCGATCTCGTCGCCGTCTTGGCGGATGCAGATCCCTGTCAAGGTTCCGGCGGCTGCATGCCGAATGACCACTCGGTCACCGGTGACCGGCGGGCAGGTCGCTCGAACGCGCAGGCCGCCGCGGGACACGTCGCGGACTTCACCGACCAGCTTGCGGGGGCCGATCTGAACGGTGACCTCGACATTGCTGGCCTCCACCCGCAGCGTGCGGCGGCGCTCCACGGGCGGCCCGCTCGAGTGTTCTGGACTTCCCGCAGTCGGGCGTTCGGCACTCATGCTTCGCTGGCCTCCAAGCAACAGCCCTTCAAGCTGCGATATCCGAGTTAGCGAGAGGTTAACGGGACCAACCCCGCTGCAACCTCAATTCGCTTGTCCGGGGGATGGCGGCGCTGCCCCAAGCAGTCACGACGCCTGGGTCCAGGTTGCGGGCAAATCCAAAACAGACTTTCGAGAGGCCGGTTCCGCGAGCTGTCTGGCGCCTCTTTCGAAGAACGCCAGTCCTAAGCCTAGCTTCTACGATCGCTGAAGCGACGCAGATAGTCGATGAGCGGCCGGTCGCCTTCAAAGAGATGAAACTCCGAGCCACGTGCTGCCCCTTCGGAATCGGGCGGTCCGATCTCAACCACCCAGCGGCGGTTCGTGGCCCTTGGATCCTCATCGGGCGTGATCGTTACGTGCTTCTCGGTCAGGCGACCGACGAGCCGATAGGGAAAGCTGTCGCCGGAGCCGTCCAGGCTCAATGACTCCCAGGGCAGATCGCGAAGGAGTTCATAGAGGCCGACCAAGGCGGCTGATGTCATGCCATCCCTCCCTGAAGCCCTTTCCCGGATTGGAAACGTTCCAGGATAGCTCTTTGCATATATGGATGGTTCTAAGAGGTACCGCTATGGGAATAGTAGTTTTAATTGTATTTCATATTTTCATTTCCCCCTATGAGCGTGACTCGCTGTTAAGATCTCCCACGCTTGCTCGGCTCTTAAGCTTGGGATGATCGACGGCTCGTCAGTCGAACATATCGGGTTGGCTGACCTTCAAGTCGGACCAGATGGTTTGAAAATGCAGCCATCCGATGAAGTCGTTGCCCACGTGTTCGCGGCTGTGGCGCGCGCGTTCCGGCGCGACCAGTTCCGCGGTTTGGCCTGTCGCCTCCACGGCAAGCTGCTGCTGGCAGCAACGCTCCAGTGCAATGAACCAGAAGGCGGCGTCGTCGACCGAATGGCGGCTGGCCGTGAGCAAGCCATGGTTTTGATGGATGACGGCACGCACATCCGAAAAGGCCTCTGCGATACCGTTGCCGGACCCGTCCTTCACCGTCACGGCGCCAGCCTCGTCGGCCACCACCTTGTGGTCGTCGAAGAAGGCACAGGCATCCTGACTGATCGGTGCCAGAGGTTTGCCGAGTGATGCGAAGGCGGTGCCGTAGAGCGTGTGGGCATGGCATACGGCAACGATGTCCGGCTGTGCCTCGTGGATCGCGGCATGCAAGACGAAACCGGCCCTGTTGAGTGCGTGCCTGCCCTCCACAACGGTCCCTTCGTGATCCGCCAGAACAAGGTTGGAAACCTTGACCTGCCTGAAGTGCACCGCCATGGGATTGGTCCAATAGAGATGCGGGTGTTCCGGGTCGCGTATGGAGATGTGTCCGGCGAAGCCGTAGTCGAAATTCTGCAGTGCGAAGGCGCGACAGGCGGCTACCAGTCGCTCTTTACGATGTTGCCGCTCCGCGGCCGGATCCTCGAAGACCGGAACCTGGGGAAAGGCCAGGCCGTCCTGTTCGGGCTGGTAGATCGATACTCGATCATTGTCTGCGGCCGTCATCTTGCCAGTCGTCTTTTGCGCAACCTGCAGCATTTCCGTCCCTCCCTTGGTTTCTGACCTTTGGCCAAGAGTATAGTTGAACCGGTGGGAGACGCATCCGGATCGACGACATAGCCGACATGCCCCAGCCGAGGTGCCAAGGGAGAAGGTTCCTGCGACCGCTTGACCGGCAGATGACGTGCGGAGATGGTGCAGGTCACGTCCGACCCGGAGACACCCTGCAATGGCCCAAACCACTCATCCGCCCAAGGCGGCGGCCAGCCTCATGCCGGTTTTCGCTACACCGATCGGCCAGTTCTCGGTGCCGGCCGCCGCGCGGCTGAATCCGGTTATCCGCAAGGCGGTACTCGATCGCGAGGCTTCGATGGGCGGCGTCGCGCGCTCGAATGCCGGCGGCTGGCATTCACCTGCCGATCTGCTCGACTGGGGGGTGGCCGAGATCGGAGAGTTGTCCGCCACCGTTCAGCAGGCCGCTCTTGCCGTGGCGGCGCCGATGGCGCACGTGCCGAAGCTTCAGGCCAAGGTGACGATGCAGGCTTGGGCAAACGTGACGCGGCGAGGCAACTACAACAAGATCCACGACCATCCGGGCTGGCATCTTTCCGCAGTTTACTATGTGGATGCGGGACAAACCGATTCCGATGCGCCGCCGCAGTCGGGTTGGATCGAGTTCGTCGATCCGCGCGGTGCCATGGGGTCCGAGCCGCCTGGCGTGGATCCCGACAAGCCCGTTCGCTTGCCGGGACGCAGCGGTGCGCTTTTCGGCAACATCTTTGCGCTGCCGCCGATCGATGGAGGCCTGCTGATCTTCCCGTCCTGGCTGCGCCACTGGGTGCATCCTTATGCAGGTGCTGCCGAGCGGATCTCATTGGCCTTCAATCTGCGGCTTGACGACGCTCGGCCGGTCGATGAGAGCAGGTAGCGATCGCTTGGGCCAGTGGCGGCCGGGACCACTCCATGGGTCCGTCGATCACAACAGGCTCGCGTTCTCGGTCGCCGGCTCGAACACCAATTGCGGTTCCGGCACGCCCCGGAGCGCGTGCTGTCCCAAACTGTCGAAGCGGTAGCCCGGCAGCATCGCCGCAAAATCCGATGAGAGGACGAGCTGTCGGTCGAGATGGCCGGCAAGGTCGGCCAAGCGGCTTGCGATGTTCACGTCTCTGCCGACGACGGTGTAGTCGAGGCGTGCACCCGATCCGATGTTGCCGTAGGCGACTTCGCCAAAGTGCAACGCGATCTTAATCCCGAAGCGCGGTCCCTCGTGTTCTCTTGCGCAGCGATCTTCGATTCTCGCGATGACGTCGTTGGCTGAGTTCAAGGCCGCGATACAGGCTGCCGCGTCCGACTCGCCGCCGCGGTGGATCGCCAGCACCCCGTCTCCCATGTACTTCAGGACTTGCCCGCCTCTCTGCTCGATCGGCGGGACGACGCAGTCGAAGTAGCGGTTGAGCAGCGTCACCGTTTCCTCCGCGTCCATCTTCGCGGACAAGGCGGTGAAACCTCGCATGTCCGCAAACAGCACAGCCGACCGGATGTGCAGGACCTCCCCCCGGCGCACCTGACCGGAGAGGATGCGTGCATGGGGATCGTCACCGACGTACATCCGCAGAGTTTCCTGAAGCAGTCGCCAGGTGCGGGCGAGGTCCAACACGATCCCGATCGCGGGCTCCACGGACCTTAGAATGGCGAGGTCCTGATCGCTGAAGCCGCCGGATTGGCGCGTGGCGAAGGTCATCCCGCCTTCGGCACCGTCGCGAAAGAAGATGGGCATACAGACGTAGTCGCGGTAGCCGTCCTCCCGCAGATCGGCGACGATGCTGTAGGCCTCGTCGCCGATTTCATCGAGCCGGAATGTCACCCACTGGCCCGTGCGATGGGCCTGGTAGTAGGGGCTGGCTTCGTAGATCGCCTGATTGCCCCAGGGGAAGTCCAAAGCCTCGACGCCTGTGTCACGGTTCCAGATGCGGCCGAGACCGCGGCGCGAGGCATGGAGTGTCGGCATCGCGCTCGCCATCCTGTCCAGCGGCAGACCCGCGTCGATTAGACGCTGGGCAAAGCCTTCGGTTGCCCGATCCGGATCCTCCAGGAATCGGGCTTCGCTCAGCAGCCAGTCTCGGATCGTAAGGGCTCTAGCGGTGACATCTACCGAGAGTGCCTCTCCGTCGCTGTTGGTCGGACGGGCCATTCCGGGATCTCTCTATCGGTTCAGCGGACTGTGGTGGGCGCCTGTGTCGAGGAACGCCCCTTGTTCCCAAGGCTACGTAAGGTCGGAGCGTCAGTCTCGCAGCCTCGTTCGAGGATCCAAACCGCAGAAGGGCGGGATCGCGCGTGTTGTTGAAAACACCCGTTAAACAAGAAAAAGATAGCTTTCTAAAAGATCACAAGGCGCAAGCTGGAATGTACAATTTCTGGCGAATGCCCTCAGATGTGTACGATTGTTAGTGGTAATCACCTAAATTTGCCCCAAGCGCGTCGCCTGTTTGTCTCCCGCGATGCTCTATTTCGTCTCTCGACGCGCCACACGGCCTCACACAGGATTTCATCCTAAACAAGAAACTAAACTATCTTTGGGGGAGGTTGCGTCACGCCTGGATGAGATGGCGTCAGTTGCGATAGCGGGCGTCGATTGCTCGACTGCACACAAGTGAGGTTCGTCGGGTTTCCCCTCTACGTACGCGGAGCAATGCCAGAATGTCTCGCAATCTCTCGATAGAGCCCCTTTCTGCCGACCTGCTGACTCCGGAAATCGAAGCCGAGGTGCAAGCGCTCGAGGCACCGGCCGAGGCCTACAGGTCCGATCCTCCGATCACCTCCTTGCGGCGTGCCGAGTACGAGAAGATGGTTCGCGGCTTGAGGGGCCTGCCGGCGCGCCCGCGCCTGCTACACATCGGTGCCAAGCCGTTCGAGGTCCCGCTGGCGCTTGCCCGAGGCTTCATAACTCCGGTTCTTGTGGTCAGCGCCGAGGCTGAGCCGCTTGCCGAGTTGGGAGCCGTTGCCGAAGCGCAAGGCATTGGACATTTGATCCGCGGGGTTGCCGGCGACCCCCTGTTGCCATCTGCGCCACGGCAGGGGTTCGATGCGATCTGGGTTGGTCAGGGTGTAGGTATCCCCCTGGACGCCGAGGCCTTTGCTGCCTGGAGGCTGTGCCTCAAACCCTTCGGCTGGCTTGTTCTGGTGGTCGCACCGTCCTCGAACGACGGCTCGGCGCCCGACCAGCAGGAGGGTGCGACGCTCAACTTGGTCCAAGGTTTGGCGAGGGCTGCCGGTTTCGCCGTCTCGGTCCATTCCTTGGCACAGAAGGGCGACCGCATGACGGGGGAAGCCTACGTGGTCGCCCGCAAGCTGGATCGCGACCTTCGCCCGGAGGAGCTTTAGCCTGCACAGCCGCTTCGGGGCGGCGCGGCTAGAAGCCCGCCGATCGGTCGACGGAGATGACATCGCTCGTCTCGGCCTGCACGCCGGAACCCGTGCCAAAACAGATCGATCCTTCGACGAAGACCCGCTCGATCAAGCCGCCGCCACTGGAGTCCGCCGCAATACACGGGCCCGTGCGGCTTCCGCTGGTGCTTTCCATCGTCACCCAATGAAACAGAACGAACTCGATCAGGCCGTCATTCTCCGTCTCCAAGCTGACGACCGGGGCGTCGGACTCCCCAATTGTGTCGAACTCGCTGTACTCGATCTGCAGCTTGCTGACCTTGGCTTCGCCGCCGCCGATGTTCGAAGGGTTGTCGACGACGAAGGCGCGTCCGGCCACGGAACGGGTCTCGATGTTCGACCAGATGGTTTCGTTGACGAAGGTTTGGTCGGCGTCTTGAGGCAGACGTATGATGAAACCATCGCCCCCCGCGCCGTCGCACTTTACGTCGAGAACCAACAGGTTTTCGATCCACGAGAAGGCGCGTCGCGGCTGAACCAACAGGCAGTCGCCGGCGATGTCTTGTATCAGCAGGCGCTCCAAACGCGGGTAGTCGCCCATGCTGACTCTGACCGCCCGTCGCAGTTCGTCGTTCCGGCCGACCAGCCGGAAACGCTCGAACCGGGATCCGAAGAGCTGGCTCGCCGAACCGTCGGGCTGGCGGTTGCCCTGCCATCCCCCGATCTCGACGCAGGTATCCGCCATGCGACAGAGCAGGGCCGGCATGCCCAGTCCCTGGAGGTGACGATTGGCAACCAGGACGGTGCTGTCGAGTTCGTAGACGCCCGCCGGGACCACGACCAGCCCGTTGATCGGTGCGGCGTCGAGCGCGCTTTGAAAAGCCGCGCTGTCATCTTGGCCGTCGCCAGGTATCGCACCGAAATCGAGGACGGAAATCGGCTGATTGGGCGAGGGCGGGTCGGTCTGGGCCACCACCGTCGAGGACAGCGGCAAAAGGCTGGCAATCAGCCCTACGGACGTTACCCGAGCCCAGTCTCGCAGGGAGAACGACCAGCTTGTTTTCACCATTCGGGGTCACCTCGGTTGCACGGGGTTCAGAGGGCGGGGGTCACAAAGCCTTCACGCGAAGATAGATGCCCTTCGGCCATTGGCTTCCTCAATCTAGGGCGCCCCACGAGCCGGGCATCGGTACTGCTGAGAACAATTTGCAGCCTCGAACGGGTCAACCTGAGACGGAAAGGAGGCGGCAATGCATCGGCCAAGCGTTAGCGTCGTTATTCCCACGCGAGATCGGCCGGACTGTTTGGCGGAGGCGATCGCCAGCGTGTTGCGTCAGAGCCACCCGGTTTTCGAGATCATCGTTGTTGACGATGCCTCGCGGGACGCTGCCGCGACACAGTCTGCGATCGGTACAGACCCGCGCGTTCGCCTGATCCGGAATGAGCGCTCTTTGGGGGGCGGCGGAACCAGAAATCTCGGCATTGTCGAGGCCAGGGGCGAACTGGTCGCTTTTCTGGACGATGACGACCTGTGGCATCCCGAGAAGCTTGAGCGCCAGGTTGCGGCCTTGGACGCCGCTGAGGACCGGCGCCGGACTCTCGTCTACTGTGCTTTGGAGGTGCGCGGGAAAGACGGTGAAGTCCGCCTGCCGGCGCGGGGCATTGCCGCGGACGAGGACGTCGGCGACTATCTTTGGCGCCGAGGCGGTTGGATCCAGACGAGCAGTCTCTTGCTCGCGCGTGAACTGGCGGACGACGTCAAGTTCCGCCCCGACTTGGCCGCGCATCAGGACTGGGACTTCGTCATTCGCCTGGCTGCGGCGGGAGTTGCTTTCGCATTCCTGCCTGAGGCGCTGGTGGTCTATCGCGACGATCATGCAGGCGTGCGGATATCCCGTCGTCCCGATCCGCAGAAAAGTCTGGAATGGCTCGAAAGCGTCCGTCCGATCATCTCGGCGGCAGCCTACCGCGCCTTCCGCGCGCGCCGTGCGCCGCTTCTGGCTCGGGATCGGCCCTTGTCCGGGCTCGCTGCGATCGGTGCCGCCGTTCGCCAGGGTGAACTGGATCCCCTGCGCGCCGCCCGGCTTCTGGCTGCCTTCGCTGTCGCCTTCGTTGCCCCGGTTGCCTACCGCGCTTTACCGCAGATGCGTGTCAGGGGAACGCAACGGCGGGCACTCTCCTCGCCGGCCACCTCGTCGGTTCAACCCTCCTCCAACCAGCTGCGATCTTAATGGGATGCGCTCATGTGATCGTTGTGAGGCGACGTCGGTTCCACTGCGGCCACAGCATGATCGCAGGCATGATTGCAGCGCAACATAGCCTCTGCCGGCAGACTTACTGCCATGATCGGCTTGTTGGGCGCCGATCCTTCGCATCGAACTTAACGCCGACTGCACACTCCGCTCCGCAGCGACTGAGCGAAAGGTTTTCATGCGCGTCTTGCTGATCTCAAATCTCTTCCCTCCCGAGGTTCTGGGCGGCGCGGAAATCATGGTCGAAGCGCTGGCGGAGGAGTTGCTTGAGCTGGATTGCGACGTGACGGTCGCTGCGCTGGCCGCGGACGGCGCCTGGCGTCTGGAGCGGCCAAACGGTTTGTCGGTCGAGTTCGTCTCCGGGCATCCACTCGGCAACGACCTGCTGTCCGAAAAGCGCGTTCGGTGGCGGCGAGCGGCTTGGTATCTCCTGGGCGAGGTCAATCTGCAGGCGCGTCAAAGACTCGGCCGCTTGATGGACGAGTTCCGCCCGGATGTCGTGCACACGAGCAACCTGACGGGCTTCGGACCGCAGGCCATGGCCGCTGCCGCGGCGCGCGGTCTGCCGCTGGTTCACACGGTGCAGGACTATGGCCTCGTTTGCCTGCGCGGTACGATGTTCAAGCAGGGGCGACCCTGTGCCGGCCAATGCGGCGATTGCCGGGTCGGGACGACCTTGCGTCGCGTCGGTTCCCAGACCGTCCACAGCGTTGTCGGGCTCTCGCAAGCCGTGCTCGACCGCCATATGGAACATGGCTATTTCCAGGCCTCGGAAGAACAGCAGATTGTTCGCACCTGGCATTTGAACGGCGAGCCCGAACACCCACCGCTACCGTCCGAATCTGGGACGGATGAACGTCCGGTCCCTGTCACGTTCGGCTACATTGGCCGCCTTCATCAGACGAAGGGCATCGACCGTCTGATTGAGGCCATGCGGCGTCTGGACGGGAGCCCGGCAAGACTTCTGATAGGCGGCACCGGCAACGCGGATCTGGAGGCGGAGTTGAAGCGGCAGGCCGATGGCCTGCCGATCGAGTTCCTCGGTTGGGTGGATGCCAAATCCTTCTTCCCGAAAATCGATGCCTTGGTCGTGCCGTCGATCTGGCACGAACCGCTGGGTATGGTGGTTCGCGAGGCTCACTGGTGGGGCCGGCCTGCCCTCGCGGCCCGGCGGGGCGGCTTGTCCGAGATCGTGCATCATGGCACCGACGGACTCTTGTTCGATCCGGATGACGCCGAGGACTTCGCTAAAGCGCTCGCCGATTTCGCCGGAGACGGCGAGCTCCGTCGCCGGCTGACCGGCGGTGCCCGAACGACGGCTCCAGCCGACGGGCGCGCTCGTCTGGCCGAGCGGTATCTCGACATTTACCGCCGGGCGATCGAAAGCAGCAGGCCGCGACTGGCGACGCCGCCCGAGCCGCTGTCGGAAGCGACGGGGCCCTAGCCATGCGTGTCGCAATCGTCGCGGGCGACTTCCCGGCTCTCTCCGAGACCTTCATTCTCAATCACGTCCTGGCACTGCTCCGGGCCGGCGTGGACGTGCGGGTGATCGCTCACCGTCCGAGGCCGGACAGCCTGACTCATCCGGAAGTGTCGGAGTACCGATTGCAGGAGCGGACCAGCTATCTGGCCCGCCCGGAAGGCTATGCGGCTCGTCTTTTCGGACTGCCGCGCCGCCTTTCTCGATCAAGCTCCTTGCGGCGGGTCCGGCACTGGCCCTCCGCTTGCAATCCCATCAAGCTGGGACGCGCGGCGCTGGGTTTGGATCTGCTCTACAGCGTGACGGGCGACCTGCCGGCCGATCCGCGGTTCGACGTGATCCATGCGCATTTCGGAGACGGCGGAGTTCGCGCGGCTTATCTGCGGGAGCGCGGATTTCTTCAGGGCCCTCTGGTAACGACGCTGCACGGCGCCGACGACACCTATGGGCCGCGACCCCTGCGCTATCTCGCCAAGCAGGGGGACCTGCATCTTGCGATCAGTGGGTTTTGGGCTGAGGAATTGACTCGGCTCGGTTTTCCCGAGGCACGCGTGCGGGTGCATCACGTCGGTATCGACTGCAGCCGGTATGCCTTCGCGCCACGCTTGGCGGATGCCGCCGATCCGCTCAGTCTTGTGACCGTCTGTCGTCTGGCGCCGCGCAAGGGGGTCCAGGACGCACTGGCGGCTTTGGCCGAGGTCCGGCGCCAACGGCCGGCTCTCGCCTTCACCTTTACCGTTATCGGCGCAGGTCCGATGGAGACGGAGCTTCGGAACCTGGCGGGTCAGCTTGGTCTGGAACGGGAGGTTCGTTTCCTGGGCGCCGTCGACCAGTCCCGTGTCGCCGACGAACTCTCGAAGGCCGAGGTCTTTCTGCATCCGAGCTATACGACGCGCACCGGCGAGCGCGAGGGCATTCCCGTCTCCATGATGGAGGCGATGGCCCGTGGGCTTGTCGTCGTCTCAACCCTGCATGCCGGCATCCCCGAGCTGGTCGAACAGGGTCGCAGTGGCTGGCTGGTGCCCGAGCGCGACGTTCCCGCGCTGGCTGCAGCGGTTCTGCGGGTCGCCTCGTCGCGTGAGATGATTGCCGCCTGGGGCGCTGCCGGGCGGCAGCGAGTCGAGACGGCGTTCAATCGCAAGGACCTCGACCGGCAGTTGCTGGACCTCTATCGCCAGCTGAGTGACGGCTGGTCGCCAGACATGACTCGTCTCCCGAGCCACCCGACACCGACCGGTCGGGCTGCGCTGAAGCTTTCGACAGGTTGAGGGGGCTCGGGCGATGCTGCTGATCTTGCTCGCCGCCGCAACCGGAGTTGCTCTGACGATGCCCGGAATCTCGCTGCTTCACGCAGGCGGGATCGGTATTCAGCCGCTTCTGCCGCTGTTGGCGGCCGTCATCGCTGCCGGTCTGATAGCGCGCGGCGGCATTCCGATCGGGGCGCTGGGGTGGTTGATGACGATGGGGACGGCTTTGGCGCTGTCGGCTCTGGTCTCGGTCGATCCCGGTGCATCGCTGCTCTACTTCGTGTTCCAACTGATGACGGCCGCCTTGGCCGCTTTGGGCTTCGGGTATCTGCTGGCCGAGCGCTCGCTACGCGTCGCCTTTCTCAATGGCTACATCTTCGGCGCGCTGCTGTCGGCGGCTGCCTCGGTCCTGCAGTTTGTCACCTCGAGCTTTCTCGGTTTTGCCTTTCGGCTCGCGAACAATCAGAACTTCGAGCTGCTCGCACCCTGGGGGCGCGGTATGGCCTTCACGGCGGAGGCGTCGTTGCTTGCGACCGTGATGATGCCGGCCTTGCTCGCGGTCTATCTCGAACGGCAGCGGCAGGACAGCGTGATCCTGCCGGTCTTCCGAACTCTGCCGGCTTTGCTGCTCCTGCTCGCCGGCTATGTCGCCTCGAAATCTTCGACCATCGTCTTCCTGTTGCCGGCCTTGCTGTTGGCCGAGACGCTGATGCAACGCGATCTTTTCGGTGCGATACGCAAGTACGCCCGTCATTTCGTCTTTTTCATCCTGCTCGCGGCCGCCTTCTACCCCCTCTACCAAAGCCGGCTGGCGGCGACCGATGCTCAGTTCTCGTCCGCTGGGCGCCTTGAGAAGATCATGGCCGGTCTGTCTATCGCTGGCGAGCATCCCGTGTTCGGGGCGGGGCCGGGCATGGTTTCGGATCCGGTCTTCTTCGATCCCTACGTCAATCACATCGTCGACTGGAGTTGGAAAGACTTCGATGTGCCGGACAAGGGCATCGACTCGGCTGTCGTTCGCACCTTGGCGGAAAGCGGGAGCTTCGGCCTCCTGGCCACTTACTATCCGGTGCTCTTGCTGTTCCTCGCCGCCGCCGCCATGGCCCGGCGGCCCGACGTCCGGCCTTTCCTGCCAATCGCCGTCTGTCTCTTGTTCTCCCAGGCGCTGGTCTCGGGCTATCGGGACCTGACCATTTTCTACCTGCCGCTAGTGATCGGCGCGGTCGGGGCTTTCGTCTGTCGTCAATCGGAAGCCGCTGCCGTCCCGTTCCAGACCGACGATCCGCTACCGGCCGATCGTCGTCTTTCGCGTGAAGGGGCTCTGTCATGACCGACGCCGTTGCCACCCGTTTGCCGGGTCCGATCAACGATACGCCTCCGGCGGTCGGCCTCGGCGACCTCTTCGGAATGATCCGCCGCCACTGGCTGCCGGCGGGAGCCATCGTCGCGGTGGTCTTCGCGCTCGGTGGTCTGGCGACCTTCGCCATGATCCCCAAGTACGAGGCGCAAGCGCTTGTCATGGTCCGGGGCGAGCGGATCGAGAGCCTTCAGGTTCAGATCGACCAGCTCCGCGGCGAACCTGGATTTCCCACCGTGTTGAGCGAGGCGGAGATCCTGAGTTCGCCTGGCCTGCTCGACAGCGTTGTCGAACGCTTGAATCTGACCGCCGAACCCGAATTCAACCCGCGCCTCGAAGACGACTTCGAACTGCCGCCGGTGCGTGCTGCCTTCGCCGACGGACGCGAACGTCTTGAGGCGCTGTTGGGCCTGACGCCGGAAGCCCCTGTGCGCAATCCGGAGCTTGAGCGCCGCATCGTGCTGGCGCGCCTGCAGGGCGCCGTCTCCGTCGAGCCGCGCGGTCGATCTTATGTCGTTGAGGTTGGCGCGGTTTCTCGCTCGGCCGCGTCCGCCGCGCGTCTGGCCAACGGGGTGTCGGAGGCGTACGTCGCTGCGGAGCGAGCCGAGCGCATGGAGCGTCTGGCCGCACTCGACAGTTGGCTGGAGGAGCGTTTGCAGCAGCTCCGCCGAGAGGTGGTTGCCCGTGCGGAAGCCGTTGAAGTCTTTCGTCAGACGGAGAACCTCTTCGAGGGACAGTCCGGCAGCCTGCAGCTTGAGGAACTCAGCGCGCTTTCCAGCCGGCTCGTCGAGGCTCAGGCCGATACGGCCCGCGCCCAGGCCCAGCTCTCCGAAGTTCGGCGTGCGGCTGAGTCCGGCTCGGCAAGCGAAGCGCTCTCCTTGGCTGTCGACGCGCCCCTGATCCAACGGTTGCGTGCCGAGGAGATCGAGATGGCCAGTCTCCTGGCTCGTGTCTCCTCGACCCGTGGACCGCAACATCCGGAAGTGGTGTCCATCAACAGAGAGTTGGTGGAACTGCGGGGCCGGATCGGGGGAGAGGTCGAGAAGATCGTTACCCTGGCCGAGTCTCGGCTTGCCAACGCGCGCGCGCGCGAGCAGTCGATTGCGGCCTCGCGGCAGGCCCTGAAGGACGAGATCGACGGCAACCGCGATTCTTATGTTCGCTTGACCGAGTTGGAACGCGACGCCGAGTCCGCGCGCGCGGCCCTGGACAGTTTCCAGACGCAGGCCAACCAGCTCGTCGGTGCCGGAGAGATCGAGCAGCCGACGGCCATGATGATCTCACCGGCCACGTCGCCTCTGTCGCCGGCGCAGCCCAATCGAAAGGCGCTCTTCGCGCTTTCGCTTGCCGCCGGTCTGATGCTCGCCGGTCTCTATGTCATCCTGCGGGAGGTGACGGAACAGCGTGTGAAGAGCGGCGCTGAGTTGCGGCGTCTCTCGGGGGTTCGTCTGCTCGCCGTTCTGCCGCGCGTCCGGGGGTTGCGGGTCCGGTCGCCGGCCGCGCGTCGCCGGCTCGAGAAGCGTCCCGATCCGGAATTCGGTCAGGCGATGCGGCGCCTCTACGCGAGTATTCGCCACGGAGACAATAGCAGCAATCTCCGTTGTATCATGGTCTGCTCTGGCGAATCCGGCGAGGGCAAGACCATCACGTCGATCAGCCTCGCCCAGGAAGCGGCTGCGATTGGCCGCCGTACCTTACTGATCGACTTGGATCTCCATAAGCGTGACGCCAGTCGCGCTTTCCCTGCCGGTGAGCCGGAAGGGAGCGCCGATCCCGACTTGGCCGCCGTGATGGAGCTGCCGGAACGTCTGGACGAGCTGTTGTGGCGCGGCGCGGCCGGGCGTTTGCGTGTGCTACGGCCACGTGCCGATCTTGTCGACCCGCTGGCTTACCTGGAGCACCCCAGGCTCGACGTCTTGCTCCGCGAGGCGCGACGGCGTTTCGACCTGGTGATCATCGATACTCCGCCTCTTCTCACTCTGCCGGACTCCAGCTTCCTGCTTCGGCGCGTCGATGCTTGCCTTCTGCTGGTACGCTGGAACCGAACCAAGCGGAGCGCGCTTCGGCAGTCGCTGGACTTGTTGGCCGCCTTCGAGGCGCCGTTGCTTGGTTGCGTCTTCACCCAGGTCAATCTCAAGCGCTACGGTGCTTACCAGCCCGCCGAGGACGCTGCGTACCATCGCCCGGCCGCGGTTTACGTTGCGGCCGAGCGGAAACGTTTGGTGGCGCCGACATGACAACCCTCATTGTCAGTACCAGCTATCCGAGGCCTACGGATGTCGGCCGGAAGGTCGTGATGTCCGGCTTCCTCGACTGGCTCGGGGCCCGTGCGTCCAGCGGAAAGGTCGTCTATGCCCATGTGGCACCGCGACGGCGGGAGCGGCAGGAACGCCTGGATGTGGATCTCTATGAAGCGCCGGTCGACCCCAGTTGGAGACGGCTCGGAGCAATGGCGGTCGACGGCCTGCTGCGCGGCCGCACGCCTCTGCAGATTGCGGCCGTCGGTGCGGCCGGGGCGGGGGACACGCTGGCTCGCCTGGTTGGCAAGCTTTCTCCCGACCTGGTCATCGCGGACACGCTCCGGGTCGGACCTGTGCTGGATCGGCTGCCTCTGGGCGGAGCGCGCAAGGTCGTCTACCTGGACGACCTCTACTCCCGGCGCTACGCGCGTCTGATTGAGACCATGGACCGGCATCCGGACGCTGAGCTCAACAGCCTCGGGACTTTTGCGCGTTTCCTGCCGGGCTGGATGGCGCGGATTGCTAGGGTTCGCGGGCTGCAGCGGGCTTTGCTGCAACGTGAGATGCGTCTAATGGAACAGGCCGAGGATGCGGCTCCTGGCCGGTTCGACCGCTGCCTGCTGATCAACGAGCAGGAGGCCGGGGTTCTTAGGGCCCGGACTGGTGCGCAGAATATCTTCAGCGTACCGCCGTACGTGCGCGTTCGGGAAACGACCGTGACAGCTCGTCCGGTTGACCCTCCCCGTTTTCTCTTCTTGGGGAATCTAAGCTATCCGGCAAACGCCTATGGGCTGTCGCGGCTGCTTTCCGAGACGGTGCCGCCGCTCTTTGCGGCTCTTCCAGGCGCCCGGCTGGACATTGTCGGCGGCGGTGCCAGTCCTGCCTTGCGCGCTCAGGTCGCCAGTCTTGGCGAGCGGGTGAGGCTGCATGGCTTTGTCGATGATCTCGATGGCGTCCTTGCCGAAGCGACGGCTTTGGTGGCTCCGGTCGTCTACGGGACGGGGGTGAAGATCAAGGTGATCGACGCCCTTGCGCGCGGTCTGCCGATTGTCTCGACCCCGACCGGCGTCGAAGGGATCGAGGTGGAGGATGGTCGCGAAGGCTTTGTCCGCGAAGACCTCGCGGACTTCGTCGAACCGCTCCGCAGACTGACCGACCCAGACCTGAACCGCTCCTGTTCGGAGGCTGCACTGCGTCTCTACCATCGGCGTTACAGACGCGACGCCACCTTTGCCGCTTATGAAGAGGCGTTCGCATGACGGCCTCATCGAAGACTCCAGACAAGGCGAGAGCGTCGGGCGAAATCCTCGTCTCGATCGTCGTCTGCACGCGGGACCGGGCCGATGATCTCGTTCGCTGCCTCGCTGCTATCCGGGCCTTGAACTGTCCTCCGATGGTGCAGGTCGACGTCGTGGTGGTGGACAACGGTTCGCGTGACCGTACTCCGGAGGTCGTGGCCTCTGCCGCGGAAGGCAGCCCGATCCCGATCCGACGCGTCTATCTTGCCGAGCCGGGCCTGGCACGGGCAAGAAATGCCGGTATTCAAGCCAGCCTCGGCGACTACGTTCTCTTCACCGACGATGATTGCCTGGTCGCAACCGACTGGCTCGAGTCCGCCGTTCGGGTGATGGAGGCCGATCCGTCCGTCGGTTTAGCCGGAGGGCAGGTGAGACTGCACAATCCCTGCGATCTCCCCGAGACGATCAAGCCTTCCCCTCATCTCGAAATGCCGAGAGGGCCTGCCGATCTGCACGCTCTTCTGCTGGGTTGCAACATGATCATTCGGCGTTCGGTTCTCGATTCCATCGGTCTGTTCGACGACCGCTTCGGTGCCGGTAGCCGCTTCAAGTCGTCCGAGGACACCGACATGGTTTATCGTGTCTACCGCTCAGGTTTCGCCGTGATCTACGACCCGCGGTTCCTGGTGTCCCATAATCATGGGCGACGGTCGCTGCCGGAGATTCGACGCCTGCATCGCGGCTACAGGATCGGACGCGGGGCCTTCTACGCAAAGCACCTTCTGCATGGCCGATTGGATGTGCTCTCCATCCTGTTGCGTCAGTTGGTGCCGCATCGACGCAGTGCCTATCCCCTGCCGAGCTGGCCGCGATATCTTCGGGCGGTCGTTGGCCAGTTCGTTCGCGCGCCCTGGCTGCTGGCCGGCGCGATCCTCTATTGGCGAGTCGGCGAAGATGCGGCCCATGTCTAGGACAGCTACGCAGGAAGCGACCAACGTCGTTCCACTCGCCCAACTTCGCGGCACGGCGACCATGTCTCAGAGTGTTCAGCTTCAGGAGCGTTTGAGGGAACTCCGAGCGAAACTGATGGCTTTGGGAAAGCTGCTGCCAAGCAGCCGTCCGATCGTCTATCTGGATTATCCTCTGCATTTGAATGTCGGAGACCTCTGCCTTCAACTTGGGGCGGAGCAACTCTTCTCGGATCTCGGTTTGCGCGTGATCGGTCGTGCATCGATGTTCAACGGTGCGGCCTGGTTGCAGCGGCGTCTCGATCCCTCTGTGACAATCGTTCTGCATGCCGGCGGCAATCTGGGCGATCTCTGGCCGGGTCATCAGGACTTTCGCGAGGCCGTCGTCGCCGCTTTCCCCGGCAACCGGATCGTCATCCTGCCCCAGTCGCTGCACTTCGCTGACAGACAGGGATTCGAGGCCTGCATGACGCGATGGGCGCGGCATCCGGACCTACACCTGGTCCTGCGCGACCGCCGATCGTACGAGCGCGTCTCGGAACACTTGGGCGAACGGGCCTATCTGGCGCCCGATCTGGCGCATGGTCTCTACGAACGCCCGCCCTTCCACAAAGGTATGGCGAAGCCTGGCCAAGGGAGACTGCGGCTGGTCAGGCAGGATGTCGAGGCGCTGGTCCTGCCTGATCACGCAGCCTCGCCCGACCAGCATTTCGACTGGGCGCAGATCTATACGTCTGCGGACCGCCGTGCCTATGCGCTCCTTCGTCGTCTGCACGGGTTCGACAATCGCCTGTCGATGAGTCTGCCTGTCTATGGCCCCTGGCGACGCCTTGCGGAGCGCGCCGTCGCACGCGGGGCAGATCATCTCTGCCGCTTCGCTGAAGTCGATTCCGACCGTCTGCACGGCATGCTGATGTCGCTGCTGCTGCATCGCCGCGTTCGCTGGCGCGAGAGCCGGACAGGCAAGACGGGTGCCTATGTATCGACTTGGCTGTCGGATCTTCCGGGTTTGACCTTGTCGCAATCGGGAACGGCGGCATAGAGAAAGCGCGACCGTAAGATCGGAGACCGCTGCCACCCAGGGCGACCGCGTTCTTTGATCAGAACCCGCTGCGCAGCCCCACGAACAGGCTATTCCTGATAAAGCCTGCGTCGTCGGCGTCCGATGTCCGCCGGTCGAACTGATAGCTTCCAGTGACCGCGACCCAACGGTTGAGGCGGTAGCTGGCGCCAAACCCGATCGTAAAACGGGTGTCGGAGCGATCAAGCCCCTGATAGTCGTCGAGCCGCAGCCTCAGATCGGCATCCAGCGTCGTCCGATTGGTCAGAGCATGCTCGACCCCCAGACGCGCCTCCGTGCGAATTCGAGCATCCGCCTGCTCGTCACCCTCTTCCACGAAACTCGTTTCCTCGCGACGGTCGACGGTGAAACTCACATCGGTCAGGGGAGTCACGTTCCAGGTCAGGCTGCCGTTCAACTGCAGCCCGGTGAAATCCTCGCGGTCGGGATCGACGAAGTCTTCCTGAAACAGCCCGATACCGAACTCGGCCTCGATCAGCTTGCCCAGTTCGAAGGTACTGCCGACGAGCCCGCGCTTGGTCAGCGAGTCCTGATCCAGGCCGCCGCCGTCGGGGTCGTCGAAGTCGCGCCAAGTCACACCGGGCTGAACGAAGGCACTGAACGCCGGGGAAACCCGGAACCCCACACGCAGATTGCCGTCATAGCGGGTGAACTCGCGATCGGCGCGGATTTCCGAGGCGAAGTTGCGCCGTGTGATGCTGCCGTTCGGCGCCAGACTGATCCGATTCGGGCTCCAGCGGGCGCTGGCATTGGCTCCGAAGTCGTTGAAGACGAAGCGCTGGGCGCCGCTGTCCGTGTCGGCGTCGGTGCGGTCCTCGCTGGCCCGGGTGAAGCTCAGCCGCCCATTGAAGTCGAGATCGTTTGTCGCGGTATAGCTGAGGGCGGTTGACGCCAGGTAGGTCTCTTCATTCTCGTCCGTCTCCGTCGCGTAGCGGTCGAACCTGGCCGAGCCAAGCAGGGACAAGTCGAAATCCCGGCCGTTCAGGTTGACCTGCAGGGCGGGCTGGATGATTGCGGCGATATCCCCCGCCGCGTCGTTCTCGCTGGCACGAACGTTGTCGTTCGCCAGCACTCCGACGCCGAGCGTGGGCAGAACCGTCGTGGGGCCGAACTGCAAGGCTCCGCCGAGTTCCTGAGCCTGGGAGGCCGGTGCGACGGTCGCGAGCAGAGAGATGGAGAGAAGAAGTGCGGAGCCCCGCATGCCGGCCGGCCGTCCTTTAGAAGTAACGCTCCAGAACGCGGATTACGTCGCCTGGCTGGATACGCACCTCCGGTCCGGCTTGGCCTTGCAGGGTGGTACCGTCTCGCGCGCGGGTGATCTCGAAGAGGTCGCGGCGGCCACGGTCGGTGAAACCTCCGGCGATGGCGACGGCTGTCAGGACCGTCATGTCGCTGACGTAAGGGTAGCTCCCGGGACCCGCGACCTCACCCAGGATGAAGAAGGGACGATAGGTTCGGACCTCGACACTCACGGCGGGATCGAGCACGACCTCGGCGCTTTGCAGTTCCGTGGCGATCCGCTCGGCGAGGCTGTCGGCTGTCACGCCGCTCGCCTCGACACCTGGAATCAGCGGTACCGCGATCTCTCCGGAGTCCGAAACGAGATAGGAGCCGGTGAGTTCGGGTTGTCCGAAAACCGTAACGCGGACTTCGTCGCCTGGGCCGAGCAGGTACTCGCCGACCTGTTGTTCGTTCTCGATCGGCGGGAGATCGCTGACGCTTTCGCAGGAGACCAGGGCGAAGACAACAAAGAGTTTAAGGGCAAGCAACGAAAAGCGTTTCATTTCCGACTCCCAATCGAGGCTGCGGCCGCCTGGGTGGCGCTCAGTCGCTGTCGCGCTTCCTGAAACAAGCTTATCACCGGGTCGCGAGCAAACAACAGCAGCAATGCGACAAATGCGAGCACTCCGACCGGAATGGCGGCCGCGGTGAGTTGCAGGACCGATGCTTGCACCGGGGCCAAGGCAAGCGCGAGCACGACTGCGCCGGCCATCGCGGCCGCGCAGGACAGAATCCCGGCAAGCGGGAGGTATCGGACCAGGAACCCCTGTCCGGTCAGATGGCGAACCAACAGAACACGAAGCGGCCAGACCAGGAAGAATTGACGGGCCAGCATGGCCACGGCGACCAGCGTGATGGATTCGGTCGCGGCGAGCGGTAGAAGGATCACGCCGGCGCCGAAGAAGATCAGGGCCTGATACAACACAAGGTCCGGCCGGCCGAGCGCGCGCGCCAAAACCGGTGTGTTGAACTCGATGGCCATCGGCAGGCCGGCGAGGCAGAGAATCTGCAGGGCGAGCACCATTGGCAGCCAGTCCTGCCCGAGAACGAGTTCGACTGCGAGAGGGGCGATCGCGGCCAGGCCTAGAAGGGCCGGGAAGCTCGTCAAGGCGATCGCCCGTTCGAGAAAGTTCAGCAGGGCTTTGACGCGATACCCATCGGCCTGCAGGCGTGCGAAGGCGGGCAAGGCGACCTGGTTGACCGGTGCCAAGAGGAGCTGAATCAGCATTTCGAGAATGCGCCTGGCCATGGCAAAGAAGCCGACTTCAGCGACACCTAGAAAGAGACCGATTGCGATCGGAGCGATCCGCTGGTCGGCGATGATGACCAGGCGACTTCCGGTGCTGTAGACGCCGTAGCCGGCGAGGTCTCGCAGGTGCCGAAGCGAGAGACGAAAGCGCGGCCGCCAGCCGGCCGCAATCCACATGCAGAGCAGCACCGTAAAGGCTGTGGTGAGATGCATGGCGACGAGAGCCCACACCCCCTGGCCATCGAACGCGAGCCACAGCCCGACGCCACCGCCGGCCGCGAGCGAGACCAGTGCTCTGATCGCGAAGGGTCGAAACCGCAAGTCGCGTTTCAGGCGTGCGGTCGGAACTGCGGCGAGAGCGGTCAGCGGCAGATAGAACGCCAAAGCTTGCAAGACCGCAGACAGCTCGGCGACGTCGAACAGCTGCGCAAAGAGTGGGGCTATCGCAATCAGCGTCGCTGCGAGAAGGAGAGACAAAACGGTGACGGCCCAGAATGCGCTATCGAGGTGCAGAGGCTCGATCTCCTGGCGTTGGACCAGCCGCTCCACGGCGCCGTCAGAGACGGCAGCCTCGAAGATCGAAATCAAGGCCATGGCGAGAACGACGGTACCGATCGCTTCCGCACCGACCTGACGCGCAATCAAAACGAAAACCGTCAGACCGAGAGCTTGACGAACCAACGTCTCGGCGCTCGACCAAAGAGTTCCTGTCACGAGTCTGCGTGTGAACTGCAAGACCCCTTGCCTTCCCGCCCGCTGCGTTCCGCCCCTGGAGGCGACCTGGACTCAAATGGAGACGCTCTGCCTCCGCGCCGTTCGTCACCGCGCGCCAACCACGTGAGAGAGACGAACGATCTTAACTGAAATCGAGCTGGCGACGGCACCAAGGATTGCCCGGCCCTGCAGCCGGTCGATCGACCCGGCGAACCTTCCGCGACACCAGGCCTGCACCGGTGTGATTTATTTAAGATGACTCAAGGATGTTGTCGGGACAATTCGGTTAGACCCATGTGATGCAAATATAGCTGTAGATCACAGTCTGTAAAAAACAAGGGCGAGCCCCGACACTATTTTTGTTGAGGTTGATTCGTCATGTCCTCCTCAAGATGCTGCAGCGCGACATAGAGGGTCGGCGTCGGTTTTCTTCGCGGCGACAGCATCAATGAAGGGGGCATGCCAATGCCGGCTTCGATCGAATGGACAGAAGGCAGGCCAGGTGCAGCTTTGGCTCGGGTCAATCCCGACCTCAGTCACCGTGTCCTCCGCATGTTCGATCTTCCCGTAGTTTTCGGTCTCGGCGGGCTGCTGTACTTCGTGATCGTAGAGCAGCGCTTGGGCATCGAGGCCCGCGAAGGCTACCTGTTCGTCGCCCTATTGGCGGCCGCCCTCCACTTCGTGATTCAACAGGCCGTCGCTTCCAAGCGAGACCCGTCTTTCTCCGTTTTGATCCGTAGCGCTCTGGCCGCCTGGAGCCTCTCGGTGGTGCTGCTGATCGTTCTCAGCTTCGGGCTGCAGGTGGGCGATCAGTTCTCGCGCCTCTGGGCCCTGCTCTTCTTCGCGACCGGCGGAGTCTACCTGATCGGGTCCCGCCTTCTCTTCGCCCGCCGACTCCGGCGTCTGGCCGATGCGGGGCGGCTGCGCAAGCGCGTGGCTATTTTTGGTGCGGGGGAGGGCGGACGCGACCTGATCCGGCGCTGGTCCAGTCTGGGGCGGCACGGGCCGCAGGTGGTCGGCATCTATGACGACGCGCCCCACGGGGCGGGGCTTCGCGAGGAATACCGGGAAGGCGGTCTCGATGCCCTGCTGACGGCCTGCCGCTCGCATCTGGTCGACAGCGTGATTGTCTCGGTTCCGCTCGACAAGGTCGACCGCATGTCCGAGGGCCTGCGCGAGCTGCGCCAGCTTCCCGTCGACATCCTTCTGAACTTGGAGGGACTGGAGCGCTTCGGCGATGCCCGGCTGCTGCGGTTCGAGGGCGCAGGTATGGTCGAGCTGGCGCGCCGCCCGCTCGACGACGCTCAGATGATGCTGAAGCGCATCGAGGACATCGTGGTTGCCGGCGGCCTCCTGTTGTTGACGGCCCCGCTCTTTGCGGTGATCGCGCTTGCCGTCAAGCTGGAGAGCCCGGGACCGCTGTTCTTCGTGCAGCGGCGCTATGGCTACGGCGGCCGGCTGATCGGGGTGCTGAAGTTCCGCAGCATGCGTCATGAGGAGAGCGATCAGCAGGGAAGCCGGCTGACGATGCCTGGTGACTCCCGAATCACGCGCGTCGGTCGCATCATCCGAAAGTTCAGCCTCGACGAGCTGCCGCAGCTGATCAACGTCCTGCGCGGCGAGATGTCGATGGTCGGCCCGCGTCCGCATCCTCTTCAGGCAAAGGCCGGTGAACGGCTCTACGACCAGGTGGTCGAGGACTTCTATGCGCGCTATCGCGTGCCGCCCGGCATCACCGGTCTGGCTCAGGTCAGCGGACTGCGCGGGCAGACCGATACGGAGCAGAAGCTGATCGATCGGGTCGCCGCCGATCTCCAGTACATCGAGACCTGGTCGCTTTGGCTGGACATCAAGATTCTCGCCCGAACCGTCTTCAAGGTGGTGGAGGCCGAGAACGCCGTCTGATCCCCGGGCGTGGCCGGTCAGGCCGCGCCGGTCCCGGGGTGTCGCACCCCGATGCCGCGGTTTTGCGGCATCTCATGAGAGAGAAGAAAGGAACCACGGCATGCCGGTTGCGCTGCGTAAACGCGTTCTGGTCACGGGAGGCGCTGGCTTCCTGGGCTCGCATCTCTGCGAACGGCTTCTAACCGATGGCTGCGAGGTGCTTTGCGTTGACAACTTCTTCACGGGGCGCCGTGAGAACATCGCTCATCTGATGTCGGCGCCCTACTTCGAGATGTTGCGTCACGACGTGACCTTCCCTCTCTATGTGGAGGTCGACGAGATCTACAATCTCGCCTGCCCGGCCTCGCCGATCCACTATCAGTTCGATCCGGTGCAGACCACAAAGACCAGTGTGCACGGGGCGATCAACATGCTGGGTCTGGCGAAGCGGGTGAAAGCGAAGATTCTTCAGGCTTCGACGTCCGAGGTTTACGGCGATCCGCAACTCCACCCCCAGCCCGAGAGCTATCGCGGCAGCGTCAATCCCGTCGGCCCCCGGGCCTGCTACGACGAAGGTAAGCGCTGCGCCGAGACACTCTTCTTCGACTACTATCGCCAGCACAATCTCAACATTCGGGTTGCCCGGATCTTCAACACCTACGGTCCGCGGATGCTGCCGAATGACGGTCGCGTCGTCTCGAACTTCATCGTTCAGGCCTTGAAGGGCGAGAACATCACCGTCTATGGCGACGGGTCCCAGACCCGCTCTTTCTGCTACGTGAGCGATCTTGTGGACGGTCTTGTGCGTCTCATGAATGCACCGGATGAGGTAACTGGCCCCGTCAACATCGGCAATCCTCGGGAAATGACGATTCTCGAACTGGCTCAGCGGGTGATTGATTTGACGGGGTCGTCGAGCGAGGTTGTTCTGCGTCCCTTGCCGCAAGACGATCCCCTGCAGCGGCAACCGGATATCACCCTTGCCAAGAGTGCACTTGGCTGGAAGCCGACGATCGAATTGGAGACGGGCCTAGAGTCGACCGTCGCCTACTTCCGCGATCTTCTGGCGGTCGAGCTTGCCGAGGCTCATCCGATGGCCGAAGTCGCCGAGTAGGACGCGGATGAAAAGCTGAAACCACCTTCCTGAGAGTCACAAAGCGCGATGAGTCACTCTCATCGCGCTTTGTCGTTCCGGAACGAGCGCCGCCGTACGGCCGGCGCGTCGATATCAAGCTTTGGCGGACTGCCACCGCCAAGCGTGTTCCACCATCTCCTCGATTGCGGAGAAGCGCGGCCGGAATCCCAGTTCGGCACGCGCGCGCGCCGAGTCCGCAACGAGCTTGGGCGGGTCGCCGGGCCGCCGATCTGCTTTGCGGACCGGGACGCCAAGACCTGTGACTCGTTCTGCTGCCGCGATAACGTCCAGGACCGAGTTGGCACGTTCCGCGCCCAGATTGAAGACACCCGACCCGCCTCCATCCAACAGACGGCTGAGCGCAGCAACGTGGGCATCGGCCAGATCGCAAACGTGGACATAGTCGCGCTGACAGGTCCCGTCCGGTGTCGGATAGTCCGTACCAAAGATGTCCAACGCGCCTACTCGTCCTCGCGCTGCCATCAGCACGCGGGGAATCAGGTGCGGCTCCGGATCGTGGTCTTCGCCGATCTCAAGGTCGGGATCGGATCCGGCGGCATTGAAGTAGCGCAGGGCCACCCACTTCAGATCTCCAGCCTCGCCGGCGTCGGTCAGGGCCGACTCGATCATCAGCTTGGTACGGCCGTAAGGGTTGATCGGATCCTTCGGAAGGTCTTCGGATATGACCGCCGCACCGGGTTGTCCGAAGATCGCGCAGGTGCTGGAGAACACCAACGTTCTGACCTGAAAGAGCTTGAGGGCGTTCAGCAGCGTCAAAGTGCCGGCGACGTTGTTGTCGTAGTAGGATAGGGGGTCGGCAACGGACTCGCCGACGTACGCGAAGGCTGCAAAATGAAGCGCTCCGACCGGCTTGTGACGCGACAGCGCCCGGCCGAGAGCAGCCGGATCGCGGATATCGCCGACTTCCAGAGGGCCCCAACGCACGGCGCTTCGATGACCCCGCGAGAGATTGTCGAAGACGACCGGCAGATAGCCGGCGGCGGCGAGCGCCTTGCATACGTGACTTCCGACATAGCCGGCACCGCCGGTGACGAGCACGCGCGGTCGTTCCGAAAGATTCGCCATTGCGGGTGTCCCTTGTTCGCGATGTCGGGACGGCTTTGCCCCGCGAGGCTTAACCCTATGGCAAAGCTTGCGGGGCCAAGCTGAGCGAAGGCTGTGGCGTCGAGGGGCGCGCAAGGGGGACAAAGTTATGCAGGTGGAAGCAGGGCAGGTTGCCGTCGGGTCGACTCTCGACTGGGCCGAGGATTGGGCCCAAGACCGGACTCGGGACCGGGCCGGCCAAGATCCGCAGGCGCCAAGGGTTGCAGTGATCGATTGCGCAGTGGGCGAGGACGCGCCCTGGTCCCCGCCCATCGTCATCTGGGGCGCCCTGGGGGCGGCGTCCTGGTTGCCAGTGTTGCTCTGCGCCTACTTTTTATTGCGGTAAAACAGAGGTATAGCCGCGATTTGGCTGCCGGATGCTCCGGTCGCTCCTCTGTGCCTCGCCTGTGACCGTTTGACGGCCTTCCAAGGCCACCCCTTTTTCACGAAGACAGCTTCCCGTAGTCCCGGCCGCTGCCTGTAGCCTGCCGGCCATGCTGGTGAAGACACTTAGAATTGGGGCGCCCCGCGTCACCCAGGAAGCTGGCGGAAGTCGGCTGGATGTCGAGGTATGCGGCGAGCCGCTCTTCGTCAGGGCGAACGTTCCCCTGGCTGAGAGCAGCGAGGCGCTGGTTGCGGCCTTCTACCTGGTTGCCCAGCACTACAATGCGGTCTTGCGGATCGAGGGTGAGCTCGATCCGATCTTTCTGCAGAACGTGCCGGCTGTGGCGGCTTTCGCCGAACGTCACCTTCGTCTGCCCGGCTGTCCGGTCCAAGCGCGATCGAAATCCGATAGAACCAAGCAGGCCGGTGCCAGCGCCGCCTTCCTCACCGAGGGGCTGGAGTCGCTTTATACCCTCGCACGACGGACGGCGGAACTCGATGCGCTCATCCACGTGGCGGGGCTCGACAAACCGGGACGTGACTCAGCCGCTGCCGAACGTCATCTCCAAAACCTGCGTCGTCTGACAGAGGCATCCGGTCAGTTCTTGATCGAGATGGAGACGAACCTGCGCGACCTGCGGCTGTTCCGCTCGGTGGACTGGGAGATAACGCGCAGCGCCGCCCTAGCTGCGATGGCGCAGTGTCTGGCGGGGCAGGTCGGTCACATCCTGGTTCCCTTGAGCGATGTTGGGACCTTCGGAGGCAGCTTGCCTTGGGGTGCCCACCCCCTGCTGATCGAAGGTTGGTCGTCCAGCGCTGTCGAGATTGTCTGCGACACCTCTCCTGCGAACTGGATCGACAAGATCGCGGCGCTTGGCAACTACCCTCCCGCTCTGGATTACCTGCAGGTTTGCGGTCGTGGCGAGGAGCCGGGCAGCACCTTCGGCGAGCGTGAGATTTGCGTTCGGGCGGTGGCGGCCCTTCATATCGTCGGGGGTCTCTCCGCCGGTCGAACGCTCCCTCAAGATACGTTGTTCGAGAGCATTCGCGCCCTGCCACCCTTGACGCCGCAACAGCGGCGCGCCTGGCAGGCGCTTCTCGATCATCCAAGATCAGGTGACTTGGCGGCGGTCATCAAGAACAAACTCGAGGAAACGCCCTTAGCGCCGGCCCTGACTTCCGCTTCCATGGTTTCTGCGGCTTCTGCCATCAGCGCCTCTCGATTGACGTGGCAGATCAGGAATTTCCGGTTGGTCGGTCAGATGCTTCGCTGAAGGATCACGACGGCCGAACGCGATGCTCCCAGGAGCGTCCGAATGAAGCGAACCGGCGGCCAGCGCGCCGCCTCTCTGAATGATGAAGGGGATTGAGCGATGCGCGTAGCGGTGATCGGGACGGG